AACATCAGCCTAACGAAGAACAACAACATCATCATCATCATTATGAGCATCAACAGCTGCCAGAAAATGAACAACAGAAACAACAGAAGCAAACCAACAGCCAACTAAAACATTTCCAATCACTCGCTAACCAACCTCAGCAGCAGTTTGAAAAGCAAACGCCGTCACAACAAAAACTTCAACACAAATACAGACATCATTCCTATCAGCAAAATCAACAAAATTTACAAATCCAACAACTTTCTCAACCGCAACAAGATCAAACACAACAACAAACACAACGACAACAGTTACAACGACAGCCTAATTTTCAAAAACTTTCCTGTCTAGAATCAACGGGCAACCTCTTTTCGGTTAGAACGGCATTCGGTTCCTCCATCGCTTACACGACTCTTTACACGTGGACAAACCAGATCGTCTTCACATTTCTGCCCCTCTTTCTTATCATCATTTTCAACACACTGCTCATCAAACAAGTCATCATTGCGAGCAAAGAAAGATCAAAAATGACCCACTTCAAAATCGGCTCTTCCTGGAGATCCAACAAGAAGATGCTTGCAGAAGTTGAGGAGGAGAGAAAATATGACGAACGTGAGGCTTCAAACAGACGCACCAATTCTTTAATCTTTCAAAGATGCTGCAAACGAAGAAACTGCAAGCAAAGAAACAATAGCGCTGCTTACAACAATCCATCAAACGCTGCAGAAGATGATGAACAGCCGTTTGAAATGAAACCAAAGATGATGAGAAATAAGCAGACGTGCCCGATTGCAAGGCAGCCGATAATGACCGATGGTTTATCATGCTCCCCGGCCGCAACAACCACCACAGCGGCAGCAGCAACAATCTCGCCAGCTCCGCATCAACAGCGCAGCAACAGCAGCAACCACAACAACCACAGCAACAAGGACCAGCAACGAATAACAATCATGCTCATCAGCCTCGTCATCGTCTTCCTCATCTGTCAGCTACCACAATCTCTTCAGAATCTCTACAGGGCCTACAGGTTAGCAAAGTTTTTGTATGGCGATGTTTAAAAACTTGAATAATTTAAAAGGGAATGACAACAACGATGTTGATTTTTTAAATTTAATTTTTGTTATAAATGATTTTGTTGAAACATTACAAACAAACTGCTAATAGAAGTGCTAACATATCAACAATCAACTCGACGCACTGGAATTTCTGATGAGGATATTTTTTCAATAAGTGGCACACTGGCTCATTTCCGCCGGCTTGAAGTGTGGAAACCATTATTGTGGAATGGTCAGAGGAATAATAATCATGATGATGAAGTAGATGGCAACGAAGATGATGAGTATGACGATGATCGGGACAGTTAACTAAACTCATATCCGTTAAACTTCCTACCAACCTGTAACTGTTTATATTAATTCATTATCTAAGTACTCACTCAAAAGTAGATCAACATACATATTAATAAAATCAAAATGTATTACACAATGTCAGCCATCAAGTTAAACTCTTTCTTAATTTTATTTTTCGGTTTTTTGTCATACAGTTTCCACAAATGCAGAGTTGCTTATAATCGTTCCATATTTCGATACTGTTAAACTTTTGTCCCAAAGACTAAGCCATCCACACCGCAGGACGCACACACTCAAAGTAAAGAGCTTCCGAATGGAAAATTCCCATCAACAAACACTTTTATTCTGGAAAATTAGAAAAATGCTTTAAATATTGAATCAGAACGTATTTCACCATGAAATATTTTTAATAATTTTGTTCAAAAATGATGATTTTTTCTGATTTTAAACGCTAATCAAATACTGCCTGCGAATATAGATAAATAATATAATGATAATACATAATAATATGTGAGTAATATAACTTCCATACACGCATCTGTATGTTGGGTGGATTTATAAAACTTATACAGCGAAAAGTTAAATAACTATTATATATAAAAATATAAAAGTTTATAATAGTACAAAAAGATGTTTGCTGTTTTTGATCCTTCAAACAATATTTTATGCAATTCGGGATGTTGGACTAGAGTCCTTTAATCCCTATAATCCATTAATCTTTGCTAATCTGTTTCCAGCTTTTCAAAGCGTTCCCCTTTTAAATATTTAACGGCGCTTTTTGAAAATTCACATCTTACATTATGATGAATATTATTGTTTCATTATACAATTTGGATGTGCACATGCGACTAATCAGCTCATATGAACCACAGCATAGAGTTCAACTTGTTTACTTGACCCAATTCGGCTGTTGATGACGAAGTTGGTATCCTGATTCAATGTCTGTTAACATTGCATTGGCGTGTTTCGTTTCGATTACACGATTTTTGTGCTGGAACGCGTCATGGGGAGTGTCATCGTTTTGTGTGGCGGTGATTGTTGTGAGGATGATAATGATGGTTATATTGATGATGATGATGACGATCGTTATATTAATAATGATGATTATGATGACGATGGTGATGACGATGATGACGATGACGATGATGATGATGATGACGATGACGATGATGATGATGATGATGATGATGGTTCGCTAAAATGGCGATGTCTAAATATAATAACAACGATACGCTGCTAGTAAAGAGGAAAAAGAAAATTATATAGGATGATGACGATGACGATGATGATAAAGGTGATGATGGTGGTGGTGATGAAAATGGTGATGACAATGTTTATGGGGGGAGGAGTACGAGTAATGATGGTTAAACGACAAAATTATTTAGTACCAATGTAGTGATAATGTTAACACTGATGTTTCTGACGACAATTGTGATGTTGACGATATTCGGTTAATCTGACTTAGCAGTTAAGTGTTAAAATTAAAAAAAAATTTGGAATAAGCGATTAAAAAATAATTAACATGTAACAATTATAGATCATTATGGTTGCGTTGTTAGGTAATCATTCATTGAGGGTAATTTTAAAATACATTCAGTGATCGACTGCTTGGAAAGATGTTCTATTAAAATAAAAAATATTCTGAGATAAACAAAAGAAATGTTTTTCAAGATCGCTAAAATCGTAAATCGTTTGAAAGAAATTGAAGGAGCATGTCTGTTGTGGGCTGCACATGAATCAGGCTACAAGGGCTTTCGATGATCACAGGACAATGCAATGAGACTGAAGCTGTTTTGAAGTTATTCACAGCCATGCACTAGATTTTATTCATTTATTATTTTTTATTTGTCTGTTTATTCTTTAAAATTAAATTTTAAAAATGATAAAAATTAATAACTAACAGAGTTAGAAGGGAAATAAAATGAAAAATAAAATTGTGTTCGTTCGTTTCTTTCTTTCAAATTCACCGACAATTGTCATGGTCGTTTTAGATCCCATGGAATGGATGGATGTGTGAGTATCTCTGATGGGCTAACTACTTCCATTTCAGGCTGATTATCGAATGAGGACGCGTTAGTTTAAAAATTTTAAAGTTGACGTAAAATCTTCTGTTTCTCTATGCTAGAATTATGAATTCAAGTAGTTGCACTTTCTGTACAATGTACTCCATACAGTGGCTCAGCTAAAAATGAACTCTGGGGCTGGTTCTCCTGAAAAAAATATTTTTTGAACTACTTGCATGATGACTCAAGCTCCTATTTAAACAACTTGTTTAAAAATGGTTAAGATTTGCAACTGTAATTTTCATATTTGAATGGTTTGTGATCATTGCGTAGCAGCAAAAAGTCACATCACAAATAGCTACCTACCTACTACTAATATGCTGAACGGTGCGCGCAGAGTTATGTTTAGGTCTATAAACAGATTATTGAGATTTCGTAATTGAATTTTTCCTAAGTTGTGTCCAGTAGAGATAACTCTTCTTCTGGTGTTGTTAGACGCTTTTGTTTGTTGCTAGTAAAACTTTTAAACTCTTGTTCGATATCTGTGTCAGCATCTCTTTAGCGAAATTTATTTGGCAATGTATCTTGTATAAAAATTATTTGTTATAATTGAAAATTTTTTACTTTGCAGTTCCATTAATGTAAATAAGACCAGACCGTTCAGCAGACTAACATTTGCATACGTGTGTGTGTGCAGCATGTTTGTTAGTTTATGTGTGCAATGCATATGTAATTGCAGGCACGTAAAACTGAAATTGTCTTTTTTTTAGATCGCCATAAACACAGTTGGCAAGGAAACGTCGACGAACATTCCTTATTTTAAAACTAGTTTCTAGAAATTTTTGAAAAAGACTAATAATGAGATAATTGGTTGCGAGCTTTCGAACACACAGACTCCGAAAAAAATCTTGAGTGCTCCAACGCAGAAGTTAATAAGTTAATTTTAATTTACATTCCTTCATGCACCTACGTATTCATTCTGAATATCTTATCTATGGGGATGTCATTCAGATAGTGAATTTGGGAAGGTTTTTGCGATTTTAGAAACTAAAGTCTTTGTAAGTTTGTTGGTATTTTATATTTTGGAATCTATTTATCAAATTCTTCTGAATTTATTTATTTTATATCATTTTTTTTCCTCCACAGCATAAATGACAAACAGAGAGCAGCGTTTACTTGATTCATACAAAAAAAATTGTCACGGCTAATGATCATAATTTCCAATAACTCATAATTTCATTTTCCCCCAATTATTTTAACGACCACTCCACAAATATCTCTTCATTCTTTTTTTTGCCTTTGAAACGATTCATTCCTAATTTTTCCTTGGAAACGATTAGCAAATTCTGAATAATGAATAAGTATCATTATTAAATTTGCTGCTTTCAACTGAAAATTTAACTGAAATTTAAAACTTTTATGTTGGACATCTGACAACAAAAAGTTTAAACAAGTTACACGTTAGATGCTTAACCACTTACAGTTACAAAGCAATCCCAGTACCTACATTGTATGTTGATCAGGACCACAAATTGAGAAAACAAATGATATCAAGTGATGCGGTTCAATACGCTCTATGCAATTGACACAAATCTTCTTAATGTCTGTGCATTTCAGAATGCGTCTACTGTGACCAAATGCGAAAAAGTTTGAAATATTTCAGTTTAATATCTGGGTTATCGTGATAAAATGATGCAATAGTTTTAAAAGCAATATTTTATTTTGTCTTTGTTCCACGGCTAAAGGTACGCCCATGAAAAGTTTAAACTTTACTCTTGATGACTTTGGAGATAACGGAAGAACATTCTTTAAAGAATATCCCAATAAATTATGAATCCCGACAACGAAACAGGTGCAAACAAAAGAAAAATCTTGATCTGACATTGTATTTATGAAGGAGTACGAAGTGTTTTATGACGTGTGTGTGGTGTGTACGTAGAATACAGATTTTTTTATTTGCAGTAGAGTTAGGTTAATCCATCCATCCAGTTATTCGTTTATTTAATGATTTCTCATACGTTCGCTAAAAAAATTTAATTTGTTAATTCTTCATTATAAGATGTTTTTGTTGTTAAGCAAGAAATGAAGAAATGTAGTTTGTTGAGGGGTGTTCAAAATTAAAAAGATTTTTTTTTTAAATTTTTCAAATTTTCATCACACGACATAACATCCATCTTGTTTGAAGACAGTTAGCTCATAAGCAGCCACTGAATGCAGCTGAAAATTTAAAGACACTAACTTCCCTGGAACTTTTAAGAATTACTAATTATTAATAAATGAATAAAAATAATAAAGAACTATGCAACCAGATAATTCTACTGCATTCTATTCTACAAAACAAACACAAAATTAACTGAAATGTATCACGCATACGTGAATTCATGCATGCCTGAATTAATGCGCTGTTAATTATCTTTTCTTTTATCATCGGGAAGGTGCTAAAATAATGTGATGATGATGGCGATGATGAGGAAGATGATGATTATACGGCTGGAGATATTGTTGAGAATGTTTGCTGATATTAATCATGAGAAAATCATTTTGTTTTTTGTCGAGATGATGATGACGAAGGCGTGAGGTCGTCCTTGAAAAAGTCTTGAATGGCAGTTACATAGGCCACGGTGAAGATGACGATGAAGATGATGAAGATGACGAAGGTAATAAAGATGATGAAGATGACGAAGGTAATAAAGATGATGAAGATGACGAAGGTAATAAAGATGATGAAGATGATGAAGATGATGAAGGTAATGAAGATGACAAAGGTGATGAAGATGATGAAGATGATGAAGTAAATAACGATGCAAGTTGAAAAATGATGAGAAAATGTTGTGACGATGACGACAGTGATGAATAAATTACTATATTGTTGGTGATGATGTTGACGAACATAACTTTTCATTTTGTCTCTCTCTGTGTGTGTGTGTGTGTGTTTGTGTGTGTTTGTGTGTGTTTGTGTGTGTTTGTGTGTGTAATCGATCGAGAGTAAATAAATTGTCAGACAAACGAAACATAAAGCATTCATCATAGAAGGAAATAACAAATAGTGGGAGAGTAATTAATTACGGTAATTTTCATGAGAGTGATGACGATGATGATGACGTAGATGATGACGTTGATGATGATGAAGATGAAATATGATGGAGAGAGTAATGTTTACGTTTGTGACGATGACAATGATGATTAATTGATTAATTGCCTCTATCGTACTAACATAACTCACTCAATCATTCGGATTACCTTCCCCCGCCATGCCTTATCGCCAAAAAAAGTTTATACTTACTCATGTGACTTATGTAGACAGTGACGTATTTTAAAAACGTGCTGAAATATTCGAAGACACACACGCCTTTGATGTTATTCTTTAATTTAAATATTTCATCAAACTAACTTTTATAATTAGTTTAATTTTTTTTTCAATAAATTTTCTATAAAAATTTTCATGTTTTTTGGTACTCCACGTTCATTGTTTTGATGTTTTTGTTTCAAAATTATTCTTGGCAGCGTGCCAGCGACGATAAGAGTCACTGCCACATTCCCTGTTTGACGAACTGCGCTCCATAGGAGCAACAAATTCTAAATATGGAAAAACAAAAAAAAAGAAAAAATTTGTTGGTGGTGATGATAATGATGACGGCAATAAAGGTGCTGTTGATGATGATTGGGATGACGATGATGGAGATGATGATGAAATGATGATAATGATGAATAAGAAGATGATGGTACGACGAAGAATTTAATGTTGGCAATGATGCTAACTACGAATGATAATGTAAATGTTAATGAAATTAATAATGAGAAGAAGATGATGTTAACGGTGCAGGTCTGATGATAATAATGAGTTACTACAAGCGATGTAACGACATGAAGTGATGTACTTGTCATGTTTGCCATTTAAAATTATCAGTACAGCATGTTTGAACTTCTGAAACAGCCTCTATGTAGTTGGGTTTCAGTTCCAAAACCGGAGTATTGTGGTTCCGAAACGCTTCCAAGCTTTATTTTTAATTTTCGTTCTTTTTTTTATGATTTTATGTTTTAATTTTTATTTATTCACAGTCTTTGATAGCATTGCCCAACTGGAAATCCCAAACCTTGTGTAAAAATTCAGTCGTATTTGTTCCTTTTTTTGCTTATTCACTTTTCTGCTTACCTGTTGGCCTCTTCCTTTACGAAGTTTGTTTATTTGCACCAAAGACAGTTCTACGCTTACGTCAAGCTATGTTGAAATTTTACAAGCATTTTTTTTTATAATTTTCCAAAATTTTCCAACAACAATCATCAGAATAAATTGATATTTAGTAGAGTTATTAAAATTTAAAAAATAATGAAAATATATATTGCGTGGATGACGATGGTTGCATCATATCGAATGGGAAGGAGCATGAAGTTTGTTGTGCTTCAGCGTGAAGTGTCTGTCGGTGCGTGGTTGATACGTGTGTGGTTTTTTTTGATTGATAGATGTTTGTTTGTTTGTTTGTGTGTTAGTTTGTTTGTTTGTTCGTTCGTTCATTTGTTAGTTCGTTTGTTTGTTTGTTTGTGATGATGAATAATAAAGATGGAATGATAAATATAATGAAAATTTACAGACTAGTGTTAGGACCCAATGATAATCTTGATGTATATAATCATAATATATTGCAGTGCAAAATATTTTTAATTGTTTCATCCGAATTTCTTTCATCGATATTTGCCGTAAAATTTATCGCTATAAAGCCAATTTCTATCAAATTGGTAATAATAACGAGGCGAAAAATTGTAAATAGCAATTTTAACCTTTTTTACCTTCATCATTATTTTTCCAAGTCACATTCCGATGTGAATAATAATCTTATAGATTCAATCACTGACAGGTCCATTAGGAACACACTGACGGCTGATGTGATAGAAACGATGCTGATCACAGGCAACATCTTCAACTTCCTGGTCATTATCAACTGCTCCATCAACTTCATCCTCTACTCACTCATGAGCACAAAGTTCAGGACGACCTTCAAAAAGATGGTGTCCTGCGAAAAAAAACCTAACTTCAATGAGAAACGAAAATCTGTCCTGACATCCGTTTCCTGATTGGTTGAGTGGTGAAAACTTGAAAGTAGTTGATTGGTTATCATAAAACTCGAATGTGAATCTGATTGGTTAGAAAATTGAATGGTTGGATTGATATGGGGATGGTTGATTGATAGCATAAACTGACTCATTTACATATTGACAAAATGTTTTGTAAGATCAATTTTCAGACTCCAACTGAATGGCATAAATTATATTCTGTCCAACAGTTTATCTACGGTTGATTGATTGGGCAAAGAAACAAATCAATCAAACATGGCGTATAAATCAAACAACGTACATGTATTTGCAACTGAACATACATTACGCAAAATTTTCAAAGAAATGAATGCACACAAACTCTGTTTCCTATTGCAACAATTTTAATCCTTTTGGCGTATGTTTCTTGTAGAGACGCAACGAGTGTCCAACCATAATTTGACGTTTTGCCATTTTAAAAGACTAAAAAGCCGAATAGTGCGATTTCCGTTGTAGTCATCACTTTTTGGGATTCCGTAACGATTCTTGTTGAATATTCACAGCGGGAAATTTATTTTGGCCATCCTGACTGTTAAAACATCTGAATTTAAACAAGAAATGGAATATTATTTCGATGAAAAATTGTTAGATAAACATGAATCGAATCGCTCACCGTTTTCTCAAGAACTTGTTTTTCACCCTAAATTTAATTTTTTTGGTATTCGTCCGAATAATGGTAATCGGCCTTCAGTCAAATTCACTATTCGGTGCGTCTTAATTTTTTGACACTCATGTTTAATGGGTTGAAGTTTACTTAATTAAATATTTTCAATAATAAAAGCTTCATCGAATAAGGTTGTTACATACGCGTACAAAAACTTAATTTTTTGTAACAAGATGAAAAAACAAACACACATACAAATTCGTATACAAACACACATACAACCGCACATACAAACCAACATGTATACAAACAAGCACACTTATAAACAGAAACACACATAAATAATTAATTGAAATCATTACATACAGATCCTTGAACAATAAGATCCTACATTCACACTGCACTGTACTCAATAAATTTCCATCTTATCATCTTTTTAATCATTCTAAGTCATTTCTTAACTCTGATTTTTTTTTGTTTTCGTGTGGTTAATCTTCATAAATATTGTTGCATTCAACAAAAATAATTTCAATATTAATTATTTTTGCAATAAATTGTAAAATTACACACACACTGTCAAATCCCACACCCACACACACACTCACGCACGCACGCACACACAAACACACACACAATCGTACCAGCATTAAATATAAACATTATTGATTATTTGTAAGATCATCAACCGGATGGATGTGCTTCATTAATTAAATCCTTCCTACGATGAAGTTCAATAATGATTATGATGCAGACCAACGCCAATAACCATCCTTATGGTCATGTTGGTGTTGGATTTCATTTGCGATGGTTATGGACTTCGTATGAGATGATGATCTTGTTTAACTAAGACGATAACCTAATTCATGTGCTGTTATTATTGTATGAAACGCCAACATACTGTTAATAACATGACTCCATTAGCTGACTTTGGCTAATTAATTTGCATGCGTTTCAAAGCAAGTCCGGCATTCCTCTTCATGCCTACAAATGTATACAATACAAAAACATGTTTTTTTCATTTTGATACAGGTATTGTATGCGCACACACAAATTATTTGCCGAAGGTACTAAATAGTTTATTGTTGATATATAGTTTGCCAAATAAAATCTTGAATCACTATTGTTTGGGATTGAACTTTATGAAACTTGAATGAAATGGACTGCATTATTTAACACAAACATTGACGTGTAACCGTGAAAACGATCTAATTCTGAGAATAAAAACGTTGAATGAAAATGCTGAAACAAAAAACTATTGTCAGTTGAATGAAAGTTATAATTTCATTTTAAAATTGGTAGCGGATTGAGTGCAGTGGATAAAGCAGAAGATGTTGTTACAAATTTTGAAAAAATTGAAATGAAAAAAAATTTTTGTCTAGTAAAAAAAGCTGCAGGATAAAAAAAAGAAGCTACTTTGTTTTAGATCTTAAATCCCACCACAAAATCCATTACTGCCGGAGGCTAATTTCAAAAAAAAAATCGAATGTTCTCTTGATGATGTGAATGTGAATGATATCCCTCGGTCACATGAGCAAGAAAAAAAATTCTAATTAACACGTCAGCTACTTTTCAATGAGTAAAGAGAGATTGAACTGTTTTTATAGATGATCTAAAAAATCAAAATTCAAATTTGAAAATATGTTTTTAAAAAATTCAACAAAATAACAAGCATTGTTAGCTGATTTGTTATTTGCGTTAATTATGTTCTAGTTGGCTGTTGTTTTGTCACATTATTATTAAATGTTATTTTTTGTGTCAGTTCAACGCAGATAAGGTAAGTAAGAGTTGCCAGAATATGTTATAATTAAAACATTCGTTGTAATAAGATATTAAAAAAACAATTTGTCTAAAATTAAACATTAAAACGAAATTGAAATTGAAATACTGACAATTTTGGAATTCTGACGCAGAACGTAAATGAAACATTGGCAGCAAACCATCAATTAAAATTTCAAACTGCACATGTTTTCATTAAAAGATAATGTGACGATATTTTTGTTCATCCTTAAAAGTTTTTTCTAACTTGAGAGCATTTGATCTTAAATTTCAATAATGCGTTAAAAGTCGTAAATAGCGGTGAAATTTTTTCAATATTTGGAACAATGAAAGAGCGTTCAAAACATTCGGCACCCAGACGATATAGATTAAATTGTATATGAACACGTTTCGCTCTATATCAATAAGTTCTAACTATATATACTATGAAAAAAAATATAAAGGTTATTGCCTTGCTACATTATTGAAGGTTAGTTTCGGAAAGCACATAATTGAAGCGATGTACACCATTTGACGATTATGAAAATGTGGAGATATAAATAGTTGCGAAGAAGCTCGTAACATTGCCTCATAAAACATTGTGTAGAATCATCACGCATATGTGCATGTAAATAAATATGCAACGCTGTTTGGGTGCATTTGTGCGAAAAATTAATCATTCAGCCCTACCTAAACAACTACTTGTTAAAACATCAGGGCCAAACATGAACAATTTTTTTATTGGAGCTAAATTTGTAATCAGAAATATCAAAATGAAATCAAACTAGAACGAAAATTAAGCATTTGAAATCTTTGAAATTAAAACTTTTCAGTCAATTTTGTTATAATTCTCAACACCTCAGCAAATACATCAATTAATTCATCATCATTGGTTGAAGCAGCACAACCAACAATAAAAAATGTAAACGAAAAGTTGTTTGAAAGAGAAAAGAGCAGTAGAAATGAAACGTGATGCTTGTTGCACAAAAACACAGCCCACCCCACACTCTGGCTTTGTTGTTTCGCTTTCTTCCTTTATTAATATTTCTTGTTTACGTATTTCTTTCAACCTCAGTTATTCATTAAAAAAAATTGCGCTGCATTGAAAAATTATTTTTTGGGTTCAGTGGAAGAAAAAAAATTATTCATTGCTTTTCTATTCTTTTTTTCAAAATTCTTTCGAAGAAATGCCAAATTAAAACTTATACAAGTCAAAACATGCATCAATTTGTCATCCTCCACTGAGTTTTATATTTATTCTTTGTATAATTCAAAAACATTTTTTGCGAACGTAATATTCATTTTGTGCCGCTTCAAAGTAAGCTGTCCTTGCCTGTACAAAAGTGATTTTGATTGTGAAATTACGAGTAAGAATTTATACAGGACACCGATTGCGACGTTTCTGCGGAGAGATTGATAAACCAAAAAAATGCTGAAAAACGATGTGGCGAATTATAAAAAAAGAGAGTCTTTTAACAACATTTTTAGCTTTGAACATCATTTCAGCAAAGATCATTGAGACATAACATAAAATTAACTGTAAAAACATTGAAAAAGATAATATCGTCTGTGGGAGAATGTTTCAATAGAAAAGATGCTATTGTTTGTAGCACAATGGAACTGTCCAAAAGGAGACTAGATGATGAAATAGCGAGCTGGAAGGAAGGGATTTATTTAAATACCTTTTTTTAGGTCTGGAGTCATGTTTCTAATCAACGGCATTGCTAACAAAGGAAAAATTGAGATATTAGATATGTAGATGGTAATTTGGGGTAGAAATATCAATTAAAAAGAGGATTCAACTTTAAAGCTAACTCAAAAAAATTATAAAATTTTATTAAAGACTGATTTAGACAAATATCTGAAACAAATTAACAATTTTTTCATCTAATTCATAATATAACAAATTCAGCGATGGAAAACAAGCATTTCATTCATTTTTAACTTAGTGTTTCAAAAATTTTCCAACCAAAAATATATTAATAATAATAATTATTTTTATTATTATAATTATTTTTATTATTATAATTATTATTATTAATTATATTATTATTATTATTAGTTTCAATTTTTACTTGAATAATTCTCAGAGCTCTGAAACAACACTTCCACAAAAATCATCACTGGATATCGTTGCATTCGAAACCAGTCACTGCAACAGTAGAACCAGACGCCTCAACCATTTTGCCCGCCAGAATGTTGAGTCTCTGGAATGTATTTATGTGTTGGAGTATTTTTGCATAGGCCAAAACCAGAGTTTATAAACTATAATAAAAGGATTGCGTTTTACGTAAAATGCCAAGACAGAAGCATTGAAAATGGGATTGGCAGTTGTTCCTCAATGAAACATCTGGAAAGTATTAGTAGCACGACGTCACCGAAGTAACCCACACGTGCTGACGACTTCAACAACAACTCAAAAACATATGCACCGTAACTTGTCTTCCTTCCGCTGAGTGAGTCAACATCAACAACAACATCCACAACAACATCCCCTACAACATTCACAACAACATCAACGACAACATCAACAACAACATCAGCAACATGGACAGAACATCAACATCAACAACAACTACATAAACAACAACATCAACAACAACATCAATAACAACATCAATAACAACGTCAACAACAACAGCAACAACCGCAACGTCATCATCAACAATATCGACAGTAACATCAGCATTATAAGCGAGGTCATCAACAACAACATAAGCGAAGCAACACAACATATACAGCAACATAAAGAATTCAACAAGAGCGTCAACAACAACAACAAAGGCAAAATCACCATTCATGTGTATGCCAATGAGTGATGAGAATTGGGATCATTAACCTTTACATTCCTCCTCATCCAACATCACCACACTCTTCAACAATCAAATCTTTTTCTATTTTAAATCCTTCTTAAATTTAACAAATTAAAAATGTTTGAACAAAAAAACTAAGGTAAATACATTCATTTTACTGAAATAAATAACAATTTCTATTGGCACCAGTCTCAGTTTTTTAAAATTTAAAGTTTATAAAACATTTTTAAAAGAATGTCCGAGTCAAACCACTAAATTGACATCGGCAGAGTTACTTAGAATTGACGATGTTCAAATAAAAAAATAGCAAGACCATGCGCTTTTGAACATTGAGCCATCATGCCGTAAGTTAGTAAGTTGAACAGTTGGATGAGAGAATTAAAATCTTTTGACCAAACGATGTACGAAATTTGGAAAGAAATAAATTTAGGTGAAGATATGTGTGGAGGAAACCGATTAAACTATTTTGACACAATTTGGGGGAATATTTCCTTTTTGAATAAAACGAAGACACATCTTTATATGTTTTGCATCTCCATTACATGTACAAACAAATGACATACACATTACATACAAACGACTCGTAGTATACAAAAAAACGCCTACACAAGTACACATGCACACACACACACACACACACACACCTTAACACGCAGATATAATATATAAACTCAATATTAAGTCTGAAGTAATTGCACAGTTTAAAGGGTATGTAAGGAAATTTGCATGCTCATGTTGACATGAACCTTTTCACATGGTTGTGGCCATGATGTGACCTCCCCTCCACTACACATCTTCATCAAAATAATCACATCATCAACGTTTCCTTTCAGTTCATGAAACGACCACACATGCCTATGTTACTGGGAGGTCAGAAAGTAAGGTCAAGGGTCAAATAGGGTTGAAGATCGGATGATGATCACAAATTTGTAGAAAATATTTCCTGCTATGCGGGCTTTAGCTTGGAAAGTTGTTGATGATTTATTTGTATTTGTTTCAATTTGTTCAAAACAGCTGAACAGGATGTTCAGAGAAATGTAAGTTCATTTATTAATATTGTTATAATACTCGCTGTCGTAACCGGTTTACGATGCGACGGGTTCAAATCTTCGATTGAATAAAATACTCCAAACAGTTATTAAACTTTATTTACAGAAGAAATCAACTATTATTAGTTATTAAACTTTATTTACAGAAGAAATCAACTATTATTAGTTATTAAACTTTATTTACAGAAGAAATCAACTAATCGTTTATTTCCAGTAAATTCGCACTAACGCAACAATTAACTTTTAAATCTTTCAAAATCTATCGCTATGACAACGTCAACAAACAATTCAAATATCGCTTTAAATAATTCACCGAATCGCTATTCACAAAATCACGAATTTCACTAATCACGAATATCACTAATCACGAATATCACTAATCACGAATATCACTAATCACGAATATCTCAATCACGAATATCACCAATCACAAATATCTTGCGACGTGCGCTTATATACTCTTCGCAAGCGTCGTTTCTAGATTCTTCCCGATGGTCCGATTCCAGCATACTCTAGAACGTTCCAGTCACTAGAACATTCTAGAATACGCTAGAATCTAGTGCGTTCGGTAGCACGGTTATAACAATATTAAAATGAAATTAAATTGAACAACATAACAAAGTTAGCAATCCTAATCTCCACCGGGCATAAAACAGAGATATCCTGCCATGTTCTAGCAATGATGTTTAAAAGTGCATGGCAACCCAATCAACGGTTAATGGAATTTGAATCTTTGTCTTCTTTTTTGCGTTCATGTCAGTTTGTCACATGTTCGTTCGTTCGTTTTATTTGTTCATTTTAGTAATTTTAATCATTAATTTATTATTTCCTAAATCATGCAATTTGTTAGTAATTTTTATTCATTTATTTTATTCGTACTTCAGTATGAGTTTGTGAAATATTTTGAAGTTTAACTTAAAATGAATGTCTGAGATCGCCTGAGAGACTGACGTCATTCAATGCTGTGGCATTGAAACAGGCATAATAATGTCATTTTATATCTCGCCATGGCAAGCGACTTAGGCGCATTATTATTACTACTACAATCAACGAATCACACATTTTTGCACGTGATAGTGCCATTCCCATTCCAAACACCCCAAACAACTCATCAACAAAAGAAACACTCATCGCCAACATGACCCTCAGTCAACTCTGGTACAACTCCTCACTACATAAATCAGCAAAACAATAGCAACCTATGAAAAAGGGGCACCAATTCGTTGAACAACTGAACCCACATGAAAACTCCAAGTTCTGGAAACTCTAACAACTAAATGAATTTTTTAAGACTGGCAGGCACCTCACTACCTTTAAATCTATCTGTCGCATTCATCTGGCTTCCCAACATTTCCGAAACCAATCTCTTAAAATTCCAAACCACTCAATGTTTTGTCTTACGTACTATAACTGGATACTACCTTATAACACTCATAGAACACCTACACCCAGAAACTAACATCTTGCCCGTCCTACAACACTCCTTCCTGCTTACAGACCAATGCCCTCGCCCAATGCCACAAAGACGATCATCCATGCCATCATCTAATCGATACCCCATCAGCGCCTCGCAACATCAAACAGACACTCAACACTTTCAGCTCACCCCGACTGAACACCTTCACATCATCACTTCCTGACAATCACACAAACAAACTTTTACTTTGCCACATCCACACGTCCACAGTCCTCAACACCATCAACTCCTCAATTGCCACCCACCTCCTATCAACAAAATTGAAGTCCGCGAATCAAGGACCATTCTGTCACAGCTCACCAGTAGCTACTCTATCCACCCAACTGGTTACCTCAGTCGCATAAATGATACCATACTCGACCAATGCAACCTCTGCCACTCACTCAATCATACTACTCAACATCTTTTCAACTGTTCTGCCAATCCCACCCCCCACACTCGCCGACCTTTAGACGGACCCGGTGACCGTGGCTCGATTTCTGAACATTTCAATTAATTTAAACTAAAAATAAGTTAGGCACTTCCTTAGCGATGCTACAACAGCAACCATTACACCGATTTATTTCGTAGACTTTTTAACAAGATTCAATGCATTTAGACTCTACAGAGCATGTAATGAACCGCAACTCGTGGCAGCTTCTTGTCAAAAAGAGTGAGCTCTTTATAATTTTTATTATCTCAGTCAGTCCGAAAAAATTGTTTATGTCCATGCAGAGTTTTTATGTGTGCAGTTTTTTTATTATACATGATATGCAAGCAGCTCTATATTTAAAGTTAAAAAGCAAATAATCGAACAACTGTCTACCTACTTAGATTTAACCAAGAGTGGCGTAATATGCAAAAAAGCGTTGGATCGAGAATTGGGGAGTTTAAAGATTAGTTTCATGTGCGTTTAATTTCGTTGTTGGAAAATACAAATAAATTAATTGGAAAATTTCATTTTTAGTATAATTTGTTAATATTCTTGCTGTGTTATGCAATATTCAGCTTTTTTGCTTAATGAATAAAAAACATCAACATCAATCAATCAATCAATCAATCAATCAATCAATCAATCAATCAATCAATCAATCAATCAATCAATCAATCAATCAATCAATCAATCAATCAACCAATCAATCAATCAAAGACGAACTTAAGAAAAATCCTCAATTACAAGATGGTTATTAAATTATTATTAATAATAAATAAACTGATAAACTGAAAACAACAAATCTATGAGCAAAGACAATTTTCCTATAAACGATCAAAACATCTGTTGAGGTGACAACGAATGAAAATTAAATAACTTGTAAAAGATTCAAAGAGCGCAAAATAAAATAACATTTTTACCATCTCATTTTTGAAGCGTTTCATTAACAATAAACAGACCATCATACGTGCATGGCGTATGATGGTCTTCGAGTGTCGGACAGACAGTATGTATGGCGAGCCAGTCATCGAGCCAGTCAACGCGAGGCAGGGCATTTCTTCCGACTGAGCTAACCTGCCGACCAAGATGAACATCAGATTTAGATTGCATGCATATAAATAAACATTATGTTTCGGAAACTTAAATAAATATGACACCCAGAATATATTAAAGTTAATTTTTTATATGATTGTCTTTTTTTTACTAAATTTTTCTTGAAGAAATGAAATTATCGACTGTAAACAGCTGTGGGTGACGTCACGTAGGTTTAAAAATAAAATAATCAGCTGAAAGGAAATAAATGATAGTGTACAAATGTTGAATGTCTTTCACAACCCGCCCACATTCATCACGTACTCACTCAGCTGATAAAGCGCGGCAGCAATAAGTTAATGTTCTGCGGCTGGTTCTATTTTCACCCTTTAATGTGTTTCCATTAATCTAGAAGTGAAACATCGCCGTGTTGGATAGTTGATAGCAGTTAATAAACAACAAGAAGTTGTGCAGCCAACTAGTTTAGCTATCTATTATGGCTAGTTCAACCCAAGACAAACTGTGCACACACGAATACCTCAGAGACATGCGTCTGCATTTTTTAGTAAAGAGAGTGACTGATCACTTGGAAAAAGAGTAAAATGACATGCACTTACAATAAAACTAATTTGTTCTTAAAATTGTTTATCACAAAAAAATGTTGGCCGCAGGCGAATTTTATTGAAACATCTTCATCGATTTATTTTTAATGATTTATTCTTATGATTTTTAATGATTTATTCTTATTTATAATATAAACGAAAATTTTAAAAAGACTTTTTCATTTATAAAATTTATTAAAAGTTAAACAAACAAATCATTTCAGAAAATAACATAACAGAAAACCAATGGAGATCACAAAACTAACAAAAACAACAATGAGAGTAGACAAATGAATATATACAATCACCAAACAGATGCATTTATAAAATTTATTAAAAGTTAAACAAACAAATCATTTTAGAAAATAACATAACAGAAAACCAATGGAGATCACAAAACTAACAGAAACAACAATGAGAGTAGACAAATGAATATATACAATCACCAAACAGATGCAAAAAAAAATATCGCAGGTGCCCAGATAGCACACGTCCACAGTTTATACCAATGATTTTAACAATTCATTAAAAATAGACCATCAAATGTTTAAAATATATTTGAAAATTGCTATTTTATTTTATACGTGCACATACACGGTAAAGAATTGATACAAGAGTAAACATAATAACATATGAAGAATAAAATTCGTCAAAACTCTTTCACGTGAAATGGACTGTTCAAGATTGATTGGCAACTATTAATAACCCAAAAGCAATAGTAATTAAAATTAAAAACTGAAAACAAACGTTTGTGGAAACATTCATCTACAACATGCACACGCTGATAATCCGCAGCCGCACTGACGTCTGCCTAATGACCGCAAAAATGGAGTTGCATAGAAGATAATGCCCACGTAAAGTGTTTTAAATACATATTTCATGGGTGCTAATAATTAAATAATTTTTTACTTGGATGGCGGGAGAAATTTAAAGTGGAGATCAATAAAATAATTAACCTGAATGTAAACGAATGAATCAACATGTGAAATCCACACCAATGAATTCATTCATTCACAACACTTCACGATCGACTCTACATAATTTAAACATTTTCCTTCAGTTTGTAATTGAGCCGTCGTACAAAGCCCCTGGCAAAATGACTTCGCAAATTCAACTTCTAATGAGGACATGTAATGGTATTCTTGAATCCGTCATGCGTATGACGTGCGCAAAACTGAGTTGAGTCAAAAGAAACTCAACGCTGTATTCGAAATTATACCTTTCAGAGTGATGCGAGTAACTGTTCGAAAACAATTTTATTTGAACACATTTGGGCATGTCAACGACTTTGCACCCGAGGTCAGAACGACCGCCTTAAATACCTCATTTATTTTACTGGCTAGTGTCAATTTGCGTTCGGTTTGCCAAAAACATCACCAGCATTGGCAAGTCATGTCGTGACGTCATCATCACATCATAACACACACACACAGTAACATTCTTAGAAATGTAGCAGAGAATTAACTGCCTGGTGCTCGTGGTTTCATTGCTCCTCGTTAGAGTTGGGGCTATCCTAAAAAATTTCCATTAGGATGATTCACAGAAACCGTGCACATCATTTCACCTGTGAACACTATTCACAAAACTTCTACAAGTTAAGCAAACATTTCAGATTATTGCGGATAAAAACTAATTTTATAATATCAAAAAATCGACATTAACAGTTGAAACAGATATAAACAAAAAACTAGAAAATATGATTTCAGATGATACTGTCACCGAATTAGCTCACTCAGTAAAAGTGCCATGTCTCGGGCTGCTATTACGCGATGACATGGTTCGAACACAGTCTGTCCGAAATTCAAAGACCATCATACCCGTATAATGTGCATATGCGTCGTGTCCTGTGATACTGTGCAGTTCTTGTGGCGCGAAAGTTTAATTATAAGTAAAGAAAAACATGTAAGCAGTACTGCATTTCAGAGTCGCATTATAAAAAATAAAAAAATATGAATATAGATTGATAACCAGATGATTTTAACATCGAAACTTTCAACAGCAAACATTTCACCGATTTAAATCTACATTGTAAAAGAACATATAGGTGTAAGAGGCTAACACAAGCATGAAAACATATAAGAAAGGCACGTTCATAAATGTTACAACCCCCGTTTTAACTATGGTTACCTTTGAAACATTTTTAAAAAGATGCTTTGATGGGAAAAACTCGTGTATCGTCTTTTAAATGAAGTAAAAATATACTTTGAAAAAAAAAGTGATAAAATATCAAAACAGTTTATACTATATATGCTTATATACAATTTTTATATTATATATTATTATATATATATATTATACAAATAGAGGTAAAAGAGGGAGAAAAAGTGTTTATAACGCCCGCAGAGCATTAAAAAAATAATTAAATTTAAATTTAATTTAATTTGGCAACCATTTTTGGCTTCAATTTCAAAAATATGTTAAACGTTCAAAGGTATCAAACTTTGCTTATTCAAGTATGCATTTCAAATCATATATTACAAATTACAAACAATATATAGCCCCAAAACCACACATATAAACAAATATACATTTATAATATCGTATATTCATAGCTGTGAAACCAATTTTTAAAAAATGTCTTTAAAAAAACCCTAAAATTTTAAAATTGTAAAACCCATTTTTAAAAAACCTGGGCTTTTTAAAAAACTCTAAATTTTTAAAATGTTAAAATTTAGTTTTTAAAAATTTAAAAAACAAAATTTTATAAATAATATTTTTTATCCAATTTTGATTATTGAAATACGAATGTTTGACGATGACAGTTTTTTACAGAACAAATGTTTTTTAATATTTTATATTATTATTATTTTAAATTTTTATATTAGATTTCAGTCAAGCTTGTGAAGAATACATGCTCTGAAACTGAATATGAAGATAAAACTGTGTCAACTGATAATTAAAAAATGGCAATTTTTTCGAAAAATTGTTTTATTAAGAAAATTTGTATAAAGAACTTTTTTATCATTAATTTCGTTAAAATAGAAATACAAAAATTATCAAACAAGTTTTGCGAACCACGGTATGTAAATTTTTTCGATTACTTTATAAAATCTAAAAAACCTATAGAGCCTTCAAATAACCTATAAAAACCTTAAAAACCTCAAAATCTAAGAAAAAAAATTAAAAACCTAGGCTTTTAACAACTCTGCTTATAATACGAATAAGCACAAGCACACACGCGCGCACACACAAATATATATATTTATATGGCCACTGCAAGACATGTAGTCTTATTCGGTCTCCGTATACTCAAACTTCATAACTTTTATTCACTTATTTGATATGTTGCTGCCCTGAATAAATTTTGAAAATGTTTCTATTATAAATGAAATGAATATGAATGCAAAACAGGACAAACAAACAAAATAATAACTTGGCAACAAATAAAAACCTGGAAAAATTGAAAAGCAGTTTTAAAAATCTGCATTTTGCAGTTTGACATCAATGAGAAATAGTCAACATTGACGTTTAAACAAAAATGAATGAAGATAATAAAATAGGTGAGTGCATCTCAAGCTGATACGTTCGTTAAGTGTCATCCTGTCCTGGGCATGACATAAAACTGCATCCACGCTGCCTTGCGTGCTTATGAGCAAAAGGCTAGGCCCTCCGCTTATAACTGGTGGTTGTCGTCAGGATGGGTGTCCGGATGTAAAAAATTTCCCCAAAATTATTCTATGCCATCACAAACAAATTGATGGCAAAGAAAACAACGTCCTACCTCGGGGGAACTGGGTCTCTGGACGCTAAACGAAGAAGTGTCATCCACAAAGAAATAAAATGAGAGAGTGAAAAATTGTATCCTCTAGCATTAATTTTGGTCGTACAATCGTGTGCGCTGGTACTTGTGCGTTAAACGTGAAACAGACGCAGCTATTTACAATATTTAAGAAAATATATCGCCTGATGTTCAGTTCAAAATTTAAAAATTAAATGATACCCATAATATCCTGATGAATTAAAAAAACATTAAATAATGCCATCAAACTCTCGTCTTAAAACTTAAATCGTCACCAAGAAACATTCATACATACAAATGCTAATCGAAAACAAAAAACACACAACAAATACATAAGTGCGGTGTTAACGTTTTGTGTCTGGGGTAACTAATGCAAATAAACAACCCAAATTACTGAAAAATAAACAGAAAAATAATAATTGCAGTGACATGCCATGTGCATACCACCAACCAACAAAAAGCACAGGAGAAAGAGATGGAATCATATGAATTTGAGGACATGTTCAAATTCCCACTTCTGACTGCCAGCAGCTGAGCAGTCATTCAACTTAATGTTGTCATTCATCTTCATTCCACCCACGTCCAAACACCAGCCACTGGCATGCTTCAACTGCTTCGTGTCCTACATTTTCAAAAGTAACAAGTTCTTCTAAATAACTTTTCAAATAAAATTTCATCTTCCAAAACTATTCTAAGATCAAAAAAGCTGACAAAGCTTGTTTGAGCATAACTCCATGGTTAGAAACAGGAAAAATTTAATTAAAATAAAAAACGACTGAAATGAAAATCTAAGGTACTCTGTTATAGTTCCAGAGCTGGTTGCCCCTCAGTTCGTGACAGTCCATCAACTTGACTCTAGCCCCTCGTTCGCCCACTACATCGGCACACACTTCCTCCATCCGCAGTTCATTGATCTGACTAAGTGCGAACATCTGCATGGTTATGGTTATGCGTGGTTTTCTGTATGCAAAGGCATTTTCGTCAACACATGGTTCTCTCTATCTAATGAAATTTTGACTATTATTATCGTAATGTAATGTTTTTGATTAAATTTCCATTATGGTTTATTTTCTTTTTTAGTCATTGCGGAAGCAGGTCGGAACTTCTAACCCCTTTGTAAACCTAAGAACTTGTGGATTCAATTACATTCAAATGTCTCAAAATCTCGTCTCTTTAAACAACGTTGTAAAACTTATTTATTGTCTGATAATCGTCGATTTATGCAACTATAGATGTTTTTTAACTCTGTTTAAATTTTATTTGCATTATATTTTTGTATCTTTACTGAAATGCAATAGAATCTGCAATTCAAATTTTTAATTTTAGTTAATTTTAGACAACCGGTGGTCTCTCATAGGATTTACTACTCCGTTTGATCTCCGGATCATTTTCATTTCATTCTTGCAATTTAATTCTGCCTGAATGGATTTGTTTTTGATAAAGGATTAATTAATATGTATATGTACGTGTATAAATGTGTGTATATGTATGCGTGTATATATCTTGATATCATTAAATTTATTTCTGTTTATACTCTGGCAATAACTAATATTCATTGGTTTGTCTGATGAACTATTGAACTAAGTGTCAATGTTTTTTATGCTGTTTCTATTCATTATATTTGTATCAATTTTTGTTGCATACCCGCAAGTTTAAGTTTAAAATTCTGTTGATATTTAAGGACTATTTCTTTTTTCTTTATTTTAATGTAATTGGTCTGTTTAACGGAGGTCCATCATAAGATCTTTTTTCTTTTTTGATCTCAGTATCATTTTCATTTCTTACATTTGTTTGATTTGGTTTGAAGAATAAATTGAATAAATAAATAAATGTGGTCATTTTTCAAACTGTTTAAAAACTTCAAAAGTTTCGAATATTAAATCCGCCTTAATAAATTTTTAAATTCTAATAATGTAATTTGTTTAAATCAGTATGGATTTTGTGATAGATTTATCAACTGAATTTGCTGTCGTGGATGTTATTAACTATATATCACGAGCTCTTGAATCTAAAAAATATTCATAAGGCATCTTTTTGATCTATGTAAGGCTTTTGATTCTTTGGATCAAAATATTCTAATGTATAAATTATATTCATATGGTAATCGTGGTTTGGCTTACAATTGGTTTTCGTTTTACCTATCTGACCATTTTCAATATGTTTCTATTAATGACTCAAGTCAGATTGCTATGGTATTTCTTTAAACAATTTTATCAACAATTCTTGAGCTCTGACTTTAAAATCAATTGATCATAAATACAACCTAATATGAAATACAACTTAAAAGCAAAAAATCAAACATAACCTATCAAAACAGTTAGTAACATTTTGAAACATATAAAAAAACCACTGATTAATATTCACACTCACTTGATTGTGGCTAAGACCTCCTGAACAAGGAAATACTCCGATATAAGGATCGACCTTGTGATTTCTGGATAATGTATCAAGACAAAGATTTGATTCTGGGTTTCTTACCTTTAATAAAAAGTTTAAATTGAAATAAAAAATAATTGGAAAAGCGAATTTTCGGCCCAAGTTTGATTCGTTCAATTTGTACACCACTCAACTGAAAATAATCTAACCATTCCATAAGCTTGTGAGTTCTCATCAATAATGAACTGCTCAGGGAACACATTATCAAGATACCATTTAAATGACTTGCAATTCAGTTTTTTTCTCAGCTCAATTCTGTCAGTGAAGTTTCCAGCGTCAGAATTCTAAAACAATAAACAAAACATTTTTGGATTGAGCCAGCATTGTAGCATAACAACGTCTTGATTAGATTCATATAAAATATGAAAAATTTGCTTAATATTATGTTAAGAAAAGAGTTCAACTGATACAGGTATACTTATCACGAAAATTAAAAACGTTATTATCGAAAAATCAACAATCAGAAAAATAATATAGTTGCTAACGAATAATATAATATTGAGAATTTCGCTCTTATATGTATATATATTCATCATCAAAAAGATGAGATCTGTGTTAGCAACATAAATATACATTAAATGAGATTATTTGGTGCAATGAGAATTGCCAGTGTCTTATAAAATACATCTATATTTACCAAAGCATGTTAGTATGGTGTAATGGTTAGGGTGCCTGGCATTGCTGTTGCAGTCACCGGATTCAAATGTAAAAAGATCCTCGCCTTTCACGTGCAAGTGCGAGATGTGTTGATTCACGTGTGTTTACAAACACTGTGTGATTGTTGTAACAATAATAATGCGCCCTAGTCGCTTGCTATGGCGCTACATAAAATGAAAATATTTATTATTTAATAATAATGAACAATGCCATGTGTAAAATGGAGACAAGCAACGTCTATTAAGGATAAATTTTATAAGAACTATTCCCGGAAGTGAAAAAAGTTTCATCAGAAACATGGGAGCAGGTTTATTGCACTTGAAAAGCTATTTAAAATATCGATGGGAAAACAAACCCTCAGATCAGAACGATGATTATAAAAGAGTCTTTTGTATTCATCCATCCACACCTCCGCTAGTCTTTTTGAGTTGTACCCATGGCTGTCGGAATCTGGATGAATGTTTCACATAATTATTCCTTCATGGATGTTTATTGTGTATTTTCTATTTCTAACACAGTTAACGTTATAATAACTGAGAACAAATGTAAAGCTATCTAGAAAAAAAAGGTTTGTTAGTTACCAACATTTCATGACAATACATAAATGTTATTTTTGAAATCAAGACTAAACAATTAGGAGCAAGGTACTTTTGGCAACTAAAATATTGGTGAGTAAGGGAAGTCCGTATTTTTGTTGCCCGAATATTTTGAAAAAGTGCAATTTTCGACAAATGTTTCTTGAAATTTTTCTGCAACAGTTAATTAACTTTAAACGTTTTTAGCTATTTTACCTAATTTTACATTAAAACAAAAAACTAGAGATGAAAGAGATAGAAAGAAAATCCACTTATATATATATTTATGCATGTAAAATTCACTTATATATATATTTCTTATGTAAAATCGGAAAATCGAGGTAAGACCGATGAAACATAAACTTGGAAGAACATGCTGGAACTCCAATGCACCCGCGCACATTTTCAGTGTGCTTTAGAATTTTGTGTCATTTAGTTTCTATGAAATTTTTAACAAACGTTTAAATTTTCAAATTCTTATTCGTATCTTAATAAATTTCATTTATTTTTTAAAGATTTCATCTATTTTTATTCTGTAATGTTTTTTATTTCACGGATTTGCATGATATTTCGACCTATTTAGTTTTTTGTCTAGTGTCTTATGAATCTTAACGATCTGTGACCATTATCATTACAGGTCTCTACTACTGGATTTAAACAGATTTTATACTGTGAAAAAATATTTAAAACATCGTATGCGCTTACAAAATATGATGGAAATTTATATTTTAAAAATATAATAACATATCAGTAACTTCAACGACACAACATTAAACTAACGATCAAATTTATAGGGATGAGCAGCTCTAAAAATATGTCCAACCCTCGAACATGGAAGAAACTCCAATTCACCTCCACACATCCACGTCTTTCAATGGTAATTTAAGAGTTTCATAGTAAAATGTTCAAATAAGGTAATTAACAGAAATATTTTTATCAGTTGTAATAAAATTTTGAAAAAAAAAATCGGTTTTCACTGGAGCAATATTGTTCAAATTAGCAAAATACCCTGAATGACAATTCCAGATTTTCACCTCCCCATGTGAACATACCAGGGTCATATGCTCCTATGTGGAAAAAGAAATCCCTACCTGTCAATGATGAACACGTTCAGATTTATTTTGCCAACCTTTTTTTCATATTTTGAGATTAAAAATATCAAACTTAAAAAGTACATCTAAAAGAAATAGACAAGAAAGCGAACTATACTTGTGTATAAATGCATTTCAATAACAACAAAAAACATCAACAGCCACAATTGTATGCCAAACAAAAAGCGGCCATTCGTTTTTTAGAATAAGTTCAATAATACAAACTGGATCAAATGTAAATAATGATGGAAGAGAACAAAATAATGTTTAAACAAAAACTGATTGAGCAGGAAACCAAACTGATTCAACTGCAAGAAACGCGCTGGATTCTCTGTCATACCATCATTTAGAAAACCACATAATAGAAAGATTGACAAATACAAAACAGCAAGCAGTCTTTAAACTTTAAATTGGAACACTTGATGCATTTATTGCAATGAGAAGAAATAATTGAAATTAGTAAGACTTGCATCATCGTACATATAAAAAATATTTTTAAATCGAAAAAATAATTCAAATTAGATATTCATTATCAAATGAACTGACCAACTGCAAGCAATCCGCCAGCCATTGTAGGAGACCTGCAGAATATAATTAATTGTTTATTTATTCATTCGCTCATTCATGCACTCATTCAATTATTTTTTTATTAATTAAGTATTTCTATTATTTATTAATGTATGTGATGCACTAGCCCTGTCTATAGCTGGCGCTATTGCATACATACATGTAAACGTGTAAAGCCAGGAGGGGTGCCTTCACTATTTCCAAATGCACCAAAATGATTATCCACATCAGTTTCAAAACTATCAACCACGCATGCAGAATCAGAACAACGTAACATCTCTGAAAACCATCGAATTACACAAATGTTTGAAAAACCATAAATGGAAGAAAACATAATCATTTCTTCACCGCAAGAGATTGTCGAAAAACTACTCAGAGAATGTTTACCATCGGGGTTTTTAATAAATATCATTGACGATGTCCTGGTTGTTTACAAAATGAAAGTTGAAAGTGAACCAACCATTGATGCTGCCATTAAAATTTTTCAAGACAAAACTTTTAAAAATGTCAAGGGTCAACAGATTTCTGATTTAAAATTCGTGCATTATCATTACTTAAGCATTCCAAATTTTCAATGAAAGAGGTTGAACAATTTGTCCTGGATAATGATGAAAACAGTTTCAATGATTTGAATGAAATTGCCGATGAAATGTCTGAATGTGTAGAAATTAATAAATTAAATGAGGATGAATATTCCACATTGCCATACGTTTGTGGTGCTGTCATCAAGTCTGCCAGTAATGTAATTCCTCCAAATGCTTGTCATGCCACAAATACTTGATCTCAAACGACCAAACAAATGATGAACCAGATTTTTCACTAAAATATTTTGAACAAGTCAATCGAGGTGGTTTGCTCATTCCAACCGAATATGCCTGGAAGACATATGTAAGGATGTTTGGTTTATTTAAAAACATTAGAGTCTAACGACTTTTTTTCTTGTTTTTTTTTTGTTGTATGTATGAATGCGTGTATTGTATGTTTAATCTCTTTTGACTTTAATATTCTATCGGTTATTATTTGTCGTAAATATGTTTCAACTTTATTATCATATGGCGACGCACCATTATCCAACAACACCATGGCCTGCCGTTCACTTGTAAACGTTCTACTCAAGGCTCATATTATTCATCATAGTGACAGAGAGCAAGAACTTGGCTGTTTGAGACGCAGGGAAAAGTTGCAATGAGCAGCAATTAAGAGGTCTATGTATTCTAATAAAACTATCTAATAATTTTCTTTATAATTTTAATAAATTTTACATTTCCATTTTTTTTCAATCAATCAGTTGAACTAAATTTTATTTAAAAGTTTAAGGGAAAAGTTAGATTATTATAGAATATTAGATACTATTGCGATACGTGTGCAAAATCCTCCATAAAACAAGCTATGAAAAGAATTGAAAAAATGGAAGGAAACAACGATGAAATTATAAAAAAATTGAAAAAATAGAGGAAAATAATGATGAAATTATTAAAAAAATTGAGGATCTGCATAAGAGCACCACTGCCGGCATCGACACCATTAAGTTGATTATAGCTGAAAATGAATCAAAACAGACCTTGTTGGATAACTCAGAGAAAAAACTTTGCGCTGAAATTAACAACCTCAAGAGCGAATTGAATAACACATTTGCAAGTGTTGTTGGTTCGGAGGTCAAAAAAGTGTTGATAGCATCAACTTGGAGGTAAAGAATGTCAGCATAACTATAAACAGTGTTGTTGAATCAAAGGAGAGAAAAACGAACACATGATTGTTTTCCGATTGAATGAGGGGGATGCTGATAAGACCAGTATAGAAAAAATAGTGAAACACTTGACAAATGGGACATGTGACCAGAAAAACATCGTCAAAATCTATCGACTTGGCAAAAAAAGTGACATCATTACTCGTCCGATTTTGATCAAATTTGACGATGTAAAAAACAAGGAATTGGTCCTAAGAAACAGTCACAGATTAAAATCCATTGATGACGATTTGACGGGTATTGGTCTGAGCCACGATCTTACAAGTGAACAAAGGACTGAACTAAAACAGCTTGTCAGTAGTGCGAAGAAACAGGAATCTGAGGATAAAGAGGGTTTTTTATACCGGGTGAGGGGGAACGTCGGGAAATGGAAAGTGGTATGTTTACCTGCAAGAAAACAATAAGTTTGATTAATGGACGTGTTGACACTTGGTATTGCTTGGAACAGTTGGTAAAGGTACAATATGTTAATTTTTGCAGATTCGGACCTGGAAACAAGAAATATAATACTAATAAGAAGTAATAAAAAAAATAGATGTCCCTCATGGCGGCAATTTGTAATGAACCCTGCGATCCAACTCACTGGAACAGGCTCCATTGTTTTTTAACGTATATCCTCAAAAAGCCTGAATGAGAGGGTCGAAGATTCAATCAGGGCAACCATGTTAATAAACGATTGGCGGATTACTCTACATTGGAGGTTGAGTCAATTGCGGCTGGCTTTGAAATCGACAATACAATAAAGCCTCGAAAAAACAATCCAAACAGTATGGATTCAAACCGCGATCGCCCGCATAGAACAGGGCAATCTTTCGGCGGCTGTCAGGCTTGTCTGCTCTCCCGAGGGTCTGGCAGGGGACTCGCCTGAGACAATCGTTAGACTCAACGCCATTCACCCCCGGTCACCATCGGACAGGCGAGTCTTTCCTGCACCGGAAACCGTAAATGTTTGCGTTTCACCCACCCAGGTGTTGTCAGCCCTGAAGTCATTTAAGAATGATTCGTCTGGAGACTTTGATTGCCTAAGGCCCCAGCACATTAAAGATTTAATTTCAGGCCCATTGCCCATCGACAAGTTTTTAAGCTCCCTAACCCAGTTTATAAATATAAATTTATCTGGCGCGAGCCCATCCGCCGCCAGCCGTTTTTTTTTTGGGGGGGTGGGTCGGTTGATAGCGTTGACTAAAAAAGATGGAAGAGTTAGACCTATTGTGGTCGGTAACTTTTGGAAAAGGTTGGCCAGCAAATGTGCTCTGACTTTGGTGTTGGAAGAAACCAAGGCGAAACTTTACATAATTCAACTGGGCGTTGGGGTGAAAGAAGGGGCTGAGGCGGCCGTACATGCGGCTCGTAAATTGGTTCTGAACCTAGTGAGGTTCAGGAATTTCAGGAATGCCTTTAATACCCTAAGGAGAGATTCGATGCTGAACGGCTCTGTCCCCAAATTTACAATTACTGCCATTCTGCATATGGCCGAATCTCTTCTCTTGGTTATAACACCTGGGTGATGGAATTGGCCGAAGGGGTGCAACAGGGTGACCCTTTGGGGCCGATGTTGTTTGCCCTGACCCTACACTGCAAAGGTTCTTGCGAGTCCGTGTTACCGAAAATGTTCAATTAACGCCGACGTAGCGAATACGAGATATCAATTGTTAACCNGATTTTATTCAGATGTTTGACTGTTTAGTGTAAATCATTGCTGATTTGGTTTTAACATACATACATACATACATACATACATACATACATACATACATACATACATACATACATACATACATACATACATACATACATACATACATACATACATACATACATACATACATACATACATACATACATACATACATACATACATACATACATACATACATACATACATACATACATACATACATACATACATACATACATACATACATACATACATACAAGTCTGCAACAAATGTCAAAATGTTTAGCACTGGAGTGAAAGCAGCGAAGGTAATTGAGAAAAAAGTCACCTATTATGTAGGCAATATTAGTTCATGCAACAAAGAGGTTATCGAGAACCATTTGAAAATGAATGATATAACATTCACTAATTGTTATCCGGTTTTGCGTAAAAAAAAACTCAGATGATTCCGCCAACCGAAATTCAATAATCGAGTCAACAGCGTTTAAAATTATCTTACCAACCAAATAGCTGTCGAAACTTAAAAACCCGGATATATGGCCTGAATACGTGTTCCTACGATAGTGGGATTATTCTCGGATAAAAAGTGTTAAAGCCACAGACGACAACGCGCAACAACCCATCAACACCAATCATGGTAGTACCAGCTAATTTCAATATCCATCCAAATGATAACCAAACGCCTTATTTTGATGAAAGTAACTTTGCTTGTCTATTTGATAATTTGCAAATTAATTTATATTATTTTAATCTATCAATTTTACACATAAATGCTCGAAGTTTATGTGGCAAAATTACGTCGCTACAAATACTTGTTGATTGTAATTAAAAATGGTGAACGGTCTCAGGATTTTGATGTTGCAAACGGAACAAAGCAAGGATGTGTTATTGTTCAAAATCTACTGCATGTACATAGGTACGTACGAACGTACGTACATGTATGCATGTATGTATATCGACAGCAAATATTTTTAAACACCTCATCCACCTTTCCACTAAGAAAAGCGTGTTTCCAAAGTGCTTGAAAATCTCAAAAGTTATACCAATAGAAAATGAAGGCAGTGAAGTATCGAATTCTCGACCTATTTCACTTTTGTCAGCTTTCTCAAAAATAATGGAACAAATGCATAAAAAAATCATATAATTTCAGCACAAAAATAATGTTCTTTCTCGTCATCAGTTCGGTTTTCGTGAAAAATACTCATGGCTACCAAACAGTTTGTTGTAAATGAACGGCTATATTTTTTTTATCAAATAAAAAAAATTTTCTGGAAAATGAAATATCTTTTTCAAATGCAGTTGAATTTTATAATAACGAAGAAATTACTGTTGCTCTGAAAAATGATTTTTATAATGAAAACATGCATATGAATTTTAAAAAGGTTAAAAAAGTTTCTATTGAATAATATTAATTTTGTAACGAACTGTTAACGTATATTATATACTTATGTTTGTAAACTTGAAACATTATTGTCGATTAACTTTAGGTGGTCATACTCGATGAATTTATTTACAAGTTCTATTATGGTCATCCCGTCTTCTTATGATTAATTTTTTTTTAAGCAAATAAAATTTAGTTTGGTTTCGTGTTGTATGTATGCATGCATGTATCTGGTTAGGTATGTATGTGTGTAAGTATAAATGTGTATATATGTGTATAAATGTTTTGTATTCTATGTGCTTTAACCAAGCTTTAGGGGGGGCGTCTTGAGGCGGCCGCTCCAGGCCCCGCGCTTTGGGAGGTCCCGCGCTTTGAGAAGCTCCGCGCTTTGAGAAGTCCCGCGCTTTGGAAGGCCCCGCGCTTTGAGAAGCCCCGCGCTTTGGAAGGCCCCGCGCTTTGAGAAGCCCTGCGCTTTCAAAATTATTTTTTGACTGTCCAAATTTTTTTGATAAATTTATATTATTAAATTCGATAAAAACCTCCAAAGACAATATCATATATTATACATAATCGAAGTTAAAATATTTCATTTTATACATTCCGATGGGATGCCCATCAACGTTATTATCAAATTATAAATGAAACTCAAAATTCTCCAGAAGCAAAAAAAATACGAAAAAGTAATAGAATTTATATAAAATGAGTGAAAATTATCGATTTGCTAATAAGCAAGCTTTCGAATCTCTAAAAAAATCGTTTCCATCAGTTGGGAGAATATTCCAGCAACTTTGGACTTTTGTTTAACATTCAACTACCTCGTGAAATGACTGTAGAAAATCTGAAAACACAATGCATGTGTCTGGAATTGGTTTTGACAATCGTTGATGATTCGAGAAATTTGGATGGCTCGGATTATTTGACGAACTGAAAGTGTTAAGAGAATTGATTCCTAAAGAAACATATAGTGGTTTACGTTGCCTGGAATCTTTTGCACATCTAGCAGATTCTTTTCCAAATGCTGCTATAGCTTACAGAATTCTTTTAACAGTACCAGTCGCTGTAGCTACAGCTGAGCGAAGTTTTTCAAAACTCAAATTGATAAAAAATTATCTCCGATCAACAATGCATCAGGAAAGATTGTGTAGTCTAGCTATGTTGTCCATAGAAGAAAAAATTGCTTCTACATTAGACGACAAAGAATTGACTCAAGAATTTGCCAACAAAAAGGCAAGGAAAAAGGATTTTCGGCTGTGATTATCTCATGAACATTAATGCAGTTAAATTTCATATATGTATATAATTTAGCTGAACAAATCAAATGTTTTAAATAATTTTTTTCTACCTTTATATATTACCAATTTGTCCATAAATAAACCTGCATTGATAAAATGTAATAATTTATTTCGTTATACCCCAGTAATTTTATATAAATTAATGAATTCCTCGTTCGTTTGTTATAGCTCGCTTCGCACTCCCAACTTGTACTACTAGACCCCGCACCCCATAACTCGCTCTAGGCCCCGCACTTCACTAGGGCTACCTCTGAACCATGGTACGGCATTTAAAAATGAAGTAAACATTATGTCTGACGCTAGTGAAACCACAAAGAGGTTGTGGGGGTGCTCTTATATGTGTGTAACATGTTCATACACTCGGCTATGCCCGGAAATAAATGTGCATATTTATATGAATGTGTAAGTGAGCACATGTTTGTGTGTGGTGTGTGGTTTGTAACTTGAGTCATAACGAATTTTAGTTTAATTTTAAAAGTTAGGCAATAAAACTTTTTTTTAAATTTATGTTTTTTGTTAATTTTCAATTAAATATTAATATAAAAATGTTGTCCAGTTCAATGAAAAATTATTCGGTTGTTAAAGCTGTTAGATACTATAAGTTTTTAAATAAGTAGCTGGTGACCGTTAGAAGAACAATTCTTTTCTGTTTCCAGATCATTTCATTTCATTGATTATATTTTCTTTGATTTGATTTGATAAAATAAAATGTTTAAATATGCGTTTATATTTATCTGAGTATGTTTTTTGTATATTTATATAGACACATGTACAAGTTGAGCATTATTTATTTGTTCACATGTGAAAATGCAAGTGTATATTAACCAAGAAACGTATTGAATATATGCGAAACGATTTCAAGGGTGAAGAAATATATATACTCTATATATATAATTATTGATGAAAATCACAGCATATTCGGCGGTAGTTAACTTCCAATTTAACTTTTCGATTTTTTTAACGGTTGATCGTAAAAAATCGATTTTAGAAAAATCGAAAAGTTAAATTGGAAATTAACTAACGCCGATTTTCATCAATAATTGCATTTCTGACAGTCTTAATCCAATATACATTTATATAGTGTACTTATTATTTTAAATTTCAAACATTTATTTTGATTCATCATTGTTTTGAGTTTGGTGTATGTTTTGTATGTGAGTAATTGTGAATAAATGTGTATGTATATTCGTCTGTATGTTTATCTGTTTCTAAGTAGAATACAATAGAATACCATGTAGAATTCAGAAAAAAAAATTATCTTCCTGTTAACACTTGGTTCAAATTGGGAATCTTTTTTTTGTGTTTATTCATTTATTTATAAATTCACACATATGTAAATTTATGGTTGTATGTGTGTGTGTGTGTGTGTGTGTGTGTGTGTGTGTGTGTGTGTGTGTGTGTGTGTGTGTGTGTGTGTGTGTGTGTGTGTACACATGTAGATTTTGTGTAAGGGCGATGTCACTTTCACGGAGTTTTGGTGATACAGAGTATAAAAAAATGATGAAACAGATTCATTGTCATGTTTGTCATCAATCAAGTTCATTGAATCTCTCATAGATAGGAAATTTATTGCTAAAAACTTTACAGAATTTTTGATGGATGAAGAAATGAATGAAAATTATGATGGCTACGACAATGACATTTTTGGTATTGGTGCCTATTTTATGACTGCTGATATTGAAAAATAAGTAGAAGAATGCATTTATTCAAAAATCTGTTGGACTTATGAAAGTGCAGATGGTACCATGTAGAATACAAAGCCTTTTTTGATATTGTACACAACCCTTTATCAGTCAAAATAGATGTTTCTGCTTAAAATCCATACATTCTTTTGCAAGAAATTACAGGACAACAGTAAAAAAAGACAATTTTTGAAAAGATTTTTCGTAATATCTGGACGTAACTTGCTATGATTGAATTTTAATGATGAATCTTCAAGGGGAGAGGACAGATAAACATGAAAGAAATGAGTAAATCCCATTTTTTAAATCCAAATTAAATTAACTGTAGATGATGTATTCTAAAAATATGGATAATAAAACTTAAATGACATTACCAAACGACTGACAGATAATATTAAAAACACCAAAAAATCAAAACACTGATACAAGATATCACCAATGCAACGGTTCAGGCAGTGATAGTGTAATGGATAAGGCAGCTGTTCCTGCTGTGGTAGTGACAAGGTTCGAATTCCAAGATATCCCAGCATATCACATGTGGTGTGTGTGTGTGTGTGTGTGTGTGTGTGTGTGTGTGTGTGTGTGTGTGTGTGTGTGTGTGTTGATTATTAATGCCTACTATTGATGCCTCTAAGAATAGTTAAATTATTATAAATAATAATAATAATAATAATAACAAAACAATAATAATAATAATAACAATGATAATAACAATACCATAAACCTGACAGGGTCTGCATCACTTTTTCTAATTTTTTTCTCCTTCTCAGGAACAGACCTCCACGTGAAATGGAGGCTCCAAGTGAAGCCCCCGACGCTGATACCCCCATTCCTCGAGTACTCCATGTTCTTGTCGTCTATCAAGTCCACTGCGGGGCAGAGCACTACGTTCGGCTTCTCTTGTATGCGAGCTAAAATTGGTTCTAACCTATGATACAGTTGAATGATGAGTGGGCTTTAAATCAAATTGCATAACAACAACAACACACGTTTAGACGACATTTTCCCCGAGATCGGGGGTTGCCGTTTGGCTACCTATGATGAAACCGAAATACCCCTCGACGCCATCCACATCTGTCACTCGCCTCAGTATCACGCAACCCCGCTTTCACCCTGTCCTTCTCCACCTGCTCTCTCCATCCCAATCGCGGACGACCCCTTCCTACCACTCCTTCAACCTCGAACTCCAACGCTCGCCTAATCCCGACCCTTTCATACCTTCTCAACACATGTCCATACCACCGCAATCTCGATCTCCTTATCAATGTCACAATGTCCTCATTCAGTCCCATCATCGACATCAGCTCTGTACTACTCCTCCTATCCTTCACTTTAACCCCACACATCATCCTCACCATAGTTGTGACGTTCGAACTTTTTGAACTTTATTATTGTCTTGAACTTTTTGAACTTTATTCTTCGGCCATAAAGTTCAAAAAGTTCAAGTTTAAACATAGATATTATAATTATAATATCTATGAAATGATCGCTGCAAAAATTCGCCTCCAAAGTCAAATTATTTAAACATTTAAATAGCAATAAACTTTGTTTTAATAACGTCGTTATTATCATGTTATTGCCTTTCTTGATGTTTAAAAATATTGAATCAAGTTTATTAAGATGCAAATTAACTCCACCGTTGATGACATAATATCTATGCTCTCCTAAGCGACATTAAAAACTAGGTCATTCTCACTGTATAATTCTTTTTATTCTATTTTATCTAGTGCCTGACTATCTAATGTTTTTGTGAGCGATAGATTGTTTGTTATATTCGTATCCTGTTTGTACGCGTACGTAAGTTATTTATAATTAAAGGCTGAAAATCGTTGATAAACTTTTCAAATTTGATCATGCCAAAGGAAAAAGGGCCTGAATGGCAACATGTAATTTGCGTTAGTGATGACAGTGATGACAAACCGGATAACTTGCCAACCATTCAATGTATATATTGTGACAGAAAATTTGTTGGAGGTGCATTACGAATTCGTGGTCATCTGATTGGAGATAAAAAAATTGGTCTGAAGAAATGTAGTAAGGTTCCTGACATTGTTGCCTCCAAATTTTTGGAAATTGAAAGCAAGCGCCAAGAAGATCAGAAGAAAAAACAGCAGCTGGTCAGATTAAATCAAATAACATCATCTACTTTTACTACATCATCAACTTCTTCAAAATCAAATAATATCAGCTTTGGTAAGCAATCAATGTTGCCAGACATGATGAAGAAGTGTGCAAAAAATGTTGCAGATAGAGCAGTTGCTAGAATGTTTTACGCTAATGGATTACCTTTTAATCTTGCAGACAGTAAATACTTTAAAGATGCTTGCACATCTGTAGCACAGTGCGGTGCTAGTTACGTTCCTCCGAGCAGAAAGGCCATATCAACAAATTTGCTAGATGAGGAAGTCCAATCTGTTGCTCTTCGTGTTAATAGTCATTTGTCAGACACTGTGAACACAGGACTCACTATGGTAAGTGATGGTTGGTCTAATGTCCAAAACAGGCCAATAATCAACTTTCTATCTGTAACACCAGAAGGGGTTGTGTTTTTGGGAGCATGTGATACCTCAGGTGAAATCAAAGATGCTTCATACATCACTAGCAAGTTTTGTGAGCAGATAGAAAAGGTAGGAGCTGACAACATTGTTCAGATTATTACAGACAGTGCCAGCAACTGTGTCGCAGCCAGAAAACTCATTGCTGAAAAATATATGCACATAACTTGTGCTCCTTGTGCAGCGCATTGTCTAGACCTGCTACTTGAGGATATTGGCAAATTGTCGTGGATTGCTTCAGTAATTGATAATGGTCATGAAGTTGTTAAGTTTGTAACGGTACATCATGCATCTTTGGCATATTTCAGATCTCATTCGGAATTGGAGTTGCTTAAACCTGGAGAAACACGTTTTGCGACTCAGTTCATAATGTGCAAAGACTGTATGAGTGCAAAGACGCATTACAAGAAACTGTTGTATCTCGTGATTACAAACAATGGCTATTAAAAAAAACATATAAAGTCCAAGGAGAAGAGATAGCTAATATTGTATTATGACAAAAGTTTTGGGATGATGTTCAGCAAGTTGTTGGTATTTGTGCACCATTTGTAGTTGTTTTACGAATGTGTGACGGTGCTGTTCCATCTACAGGAAAATTGTACTGGAAAATTTTTTCAGCTGATCTAGAAATACAGAACAGTACACTTTCAACGATAAAAAAACAAAACATTCGTCAACTTATCAGTAACAGATGGAAAATGCTCCACACAGATCTCCATTCAGCTGGGTTTGTTTTAGATCCTGAATATCAAGCATATCAACAACATGAAAATGAAGAAGTTATGACAGGATTTCACAACATTGTTGAAAAGATGTACAGAGATGATGTGCAATCACAGGTGAGTTAATGTTTATGTGCATCTAGAAACTACTATTATTAACCTAGTGTTAAGTTTCACAGATAAATTTTTGTAATTTAAGCGGGTCTTTATTTTTAAGTCATACACCTTTAGTATTACTGTAATACTTAACTATTATTAAATTGATTGTACACTTGACAGGTAAAAGTGGTACAACAACATTCGGTTTATAGAGCTCGTCAAGGTGTATTTGGCCGACCTATGGCTATCGCTGCAGCAAAGACGATGCCTGGCCACAAGTGGTGGATGTCATTCGGTGCACAAACACCTGAATTACAAAAAATTGCTGTCAGAGTATTGTCACAGGTCACATCAGCTGGGTCTTGTGAACGTAACTGGTCAACATTTGACTTTATTCACACAAAAAAACGCAACAGACTTGCATGCAAGACGGTTGAGAAGATTGTTAATGTACATTGCAACTTACAGCTAGTAACAAAAATTGAAGATATTAACTATATTGACGAGTATATCGATTGGTCATCTGATGCTGACAGTGATGACAATGTGGACTGATTACTGACATATTAATAACTGTAAGTCTATAATGTTTTCTAAGTGCTATGAAAAATCTTCAAGAAAATACTTGATAGATGTTTATGTATATATGTACATGTGTATTTGTTTTTATATAAAAAAGTTTCAAGAAAAAAAACTCAAATTTTTTATTAAGTTGTTATTATTATAATTTTTTGTTAAGATGGTAACTGTGTCTCAATTATTTCTGGAACATCATTTGATTTAATTTATATTTTCTAAACATTGTTGCCTTAGTACCATAAAATATTATATAAAATAATTTTTTGCGGTCCTTTGTAATATTTTTGTTTAGTCATTTGCTTTTAAATATGATTTGTATTCTTTTTTTAACTTTATTTGTTTTTCTCCTTTACAATTCACTTGAACGACAAAATGTTTTTCATCTTCTCTGTCATTACATGGTACAACCAAGTCATCTCCCTCAAAATTTCAGCTTTTTTACATGTTTTCATTTATTCAAATTTTAATTTTGTAGTTCACCATTTCATTTTGTCTTCCATGTTGTAATATTCTCTGTGTGTGACGGATTGATTTAGAAAATAAAATAATTTAATGTTGAGCTGAGGCAGTCGCATTTCGAACTTTTATGAACTTTTTTGAACTTTATTTATCTTTGAACTTTATCGAACTTTTACGAACTTTTAAATTTTTCTTTCGAACTTCACAACTATGATCCTCACCATAGCTCTATCAGCCCTCTGCAGTACACTTTCTTCCTCTCTCCTCAACACCCAAGTTTCACCACCATATACCATCGCTGCTCTCACACATGCTTTATATACCCTCCCTTTCATCTTCAATGACCATTTCTTTCCACACAATACCCCACCCAGTTCCCTAAATTTCATCCATCCCACACGAACTCTAGCCGTAACTGCGCTCAAACATCCTCCATCCGCGTTCAGCTTATCCCCTAATTAAACAAAGCTTTCCACTCTTTCAATACCACCACTCAACCCCGTCCTAGCGTCAGTCCTATTAATCACACCATGAACACATTTCTTACATTTGAACGTGCCTTCCACCTTTTTCAGTGCCCCCCTCACACCACTACATCTCTTATGCACACATTTCTGACATTCTAGCCTTCACTCTCCTGTCACATACCCCACAGGGGTCTATTTTACTTATCACTAGCTCCCCACCTTCCCCACTCGCCATTATCTTCGTTTTACCAATATTAACTTTTAACCCTTTCTTTTCAATAACACTTTTCCATCTGTCAAATGTTAACTGCAATTCTTCCATGCTATCAGCCATCAAGACTAAATCATCTGCATACAAAATCTCAAATAACAACCCCTCCATTATGTTTCCACACACAACATCCATCACAATTGCAAACAGAAACGGTGATAACACTGATCCTTGATGCACTCCTACCTTAACACTAAAAGCGTCCGACATCCCCCTTCCAACCCTCACCTTTGTCTTTGCCCCTTCATACAGCTGCATCACAGCTTTAACAAGTCTCTCATTCACTCCTTTCTTCCTCAACGCCCATTCAATGACCTTCCTCGGTACTCGATCAAAAGCTTTTTCTAGATCCACAAAACACATGTACAATCTTCGTTTCTTCTTTCTATAATTCTCCAGCAACATTCTCACCATGAACAACGCATCCACCGTTCCCCTACCAGGCATAAACCCACACTGCATTTCATTAACTGTCACCATATTTCTCAACCTCCTCTCAAGCACCCTCTCCACTACCTTCATTCCATGCTCTAGCAATTTCACACCCCTATATGACCCACAATCTCTCACATCTCCTTTGCCCTTATACAACGGCACCAACACACTGTGTCGCCAATCCTCAGGTATACCTTCATCATCAAACATACTGTTAGCAATTCTCATCATAACTTCAATTCCTATCACCCCACTCGCTTTTATATGTTCTGCCGCCACTTCTGAAACCCCTGTCGCCTTACCTAGTTTCATTTCTCTAACTGCATTCTCTACTTCCTCCATTGTCACCTTCTCTATAGGTCCGTGTGTAACCGCGGATTCCACATCTCCATCCCACTCATTCTCTTCATTCATCAACCTTTCCATATGAGCTTTCCACACCTGAGCTTTTTCCTCCTCATCTATGCACAACTTTAAATCAAATTGCATAAGGAATTTGAATTTGAGTTAGTTAATTAATTTGAAAGCAGAAAAGAATAAAAATATGAAAACTTTTATAAACCAAAATGAATGTAAACAACTAGCTGAATTATTAATCAACTAATATGCTACATATCCCAACTACATCAATAAGAGATTAGTGTTTCATTTGTACACAAATAACTTTCTAGAAAGACAAAATAGAAATGAAAAATAACAACTGGATCATTAATGATAATACTAAAGAAGCATGAACAAGCTGCACGTAAAACTGAAAACAGCCTGTCTGAAACAACACAAAACTGACAATGAAACAACAACAACAAATAACCAACTACAACCAATCAAGCAGACGACCATTTAATTAATAAAAATAAAATATGAAAGCAACACAAAATAAACAAGCAAAATACACTAACTACCAATAAACAATCAAAAGCACAAACAGACCAATAATCATTAGCTTCACAGTGTGCATCCAAGAACACGAGGACTTCTCCAGTTGATTCTTTCGCTCCAAGAATCTTTGCCCTGATCAGACCCAATCTCTTCGGAGACCTCACCAACTTCACAATGCCATCAGGCCACGATGTCGATATGTTCTTCTCTAGGGGCTCCTGCAGTTCAGCTATAAATTAAATTCTTTTTAATCAGGATGGTTTGAAGTGAGGGATGATTAAATGAAATTATTAAACCCATATTGGACAGAAATTAATGTGAATTTGCTTGTTTCTTAACAAACCTTATCAAATTACAAAATAGAAAATTTTAATTTCAATAATCAACATTCAAAATGTCATTCAAGCTTATAACTAATTAACACATTCACAATAAATTAATGCAAAAAAAATGATTTGCATTTACAAAAACTAAATGTAGAAAGTGAATTATAAGAATAATGGTAAGCACTGACGTCTATCACTGTTATCATCAACCAGCACAACTTCATGCAAGTATTCAGGAGGTGATCTGTTTACCACACTGTGCACTGTTCGTAGCAATCCAGAGGGAGCCTCATTGCAAAATATTATAATCACACTTGCTTTTGGCAATTTTTTTGGGTAAATCTTCGTTTTGCAACTGAAAATGATATTTGTAAAAAAAAATTGAACAGTCATTTATAAAAACAAATTTTAAACAAAAGGTAATTTGCTATTTTCATGCTTGCAACATTATCATTGTGGAAATTAGAAAATTGAAAAACATAGCCCTTATTATTGTGAAATAAATTCTGAAATTTGGTGACTGAATAAAATGAGCCATTTATATATTTATTTAAAGAACTGGAAGACCAAAAGTTATTACTAACTTGCACAGACTCCGTAAGTACATAAAATGACATTTACATATAAGAAATATGCATACATACATTTGCATATGATTATGGGGGATAAACAGCTCATAAAAAACAGAATAAAGAGATGTGTATCAGTGACGTGATAAAATGAATTAAATTAACAAAGAAGGCAGCGAATATGAGCCATGGAATACACATTATATTAATAAATTGGCCGTAGAAAAATAGAGTAAAATACTGAAAGTAAACAACAACAAAAATGGTAAACAGAAAACCAGTGTTAACAAAATATGAAATTAAGTTGGAGATAATTCAATTGTAACAATAACAGCAATAGGAATAATGAAAATAGGTTTTCTATAATAAAATTAATTTATTAAACACTTATAAATTTATTAATTAAATTTACATTTTAAAAAGAATACAATATTATCTAAGCTAAGATAATAATAATTGAGAAACTAATAATAGAAATAAAAGAACTAACTCTGGATGTCTGATATCAACCAATCTTCTGTCCATGGCAACTTTCTCACTGGCAATCACGTTGTAAGTTTCTTTAGCAAACAACTTGTCCGCTTCCTTCTGCTCTTCCTCATTCAACACCACTTTCAATCCATCTTCTCCTGGTCCCTGAATGCTCAGTGGCCTATTTTGAGCCTTTAAAAATCTTAAACGTCTGAATTCTTCAATATTGCTGATATCTAGTTTGACGTCTGAACCTGATAAATCTTTTTCGTAGTTGGACGATTGAAATGACGACCCTTCAAAAAAATAATGAAACACTAAAAAGAGGTAGAGAGAGAAGCACAACAACAAAACTAATGAAGTCCTTCTAATTTTGAATCTTCGACTTAACGACATTGTTTGCTGTTTGGCGTTGTATTCAGTCTGGTTCAATTAAAATCTGGTACTTGGAATCTCAGATGAGAAAAGTTTCTTAACAACAAATCTCATAAAAACATAAAATAACAAGAGAATAAAAATCCGACATCACTAGAAATGCACAGAGACGCCAACACAAAACAACCTCACGCAAAAAAAACAAATGAGAAAATTTAAAAAGGAAATGATGCGAAAGAAGTTGCTTAAAAGTTAACAAAACTTATTATCCAATATTTTAATACTTTTAATTTAATATGCATTTACGATTAATATAGCACTGAATAAGAAATATAGCATAAACTTTAACGCAGCGTCACACGAACCATTACTAACGTGCACACGTCTAAAAAATGAGCCTTCAGTCTGATTTTGAAAAGACTGAGAGCAGAGAGGGAAATTGTCTCACCTGGATATGTGGTAGACCATTCAATCCACGACCAGCGAGGTGGGATTTAGAGATAGGGATTAGGGATGTTTATGAAGTTTGTCGAGAATTCGTGAAACGATCTAGTATTTTCATAGCGGGTTATAGAAAAAATACCACTCGTCAGGTCAGTTCATTTCGTCGTCACCAACCTACACAACTTTGTTCCTGTCTTCAACACCTCAACAAGACTGATTTTAACAACATTTTCAACCTCAGTCAGTAACATTACCATCAACAATAGCAGCAATAATAAATATTTGATTATTGATTAACGAAGAAGAAAATTAAAATTGTAAACACAAAAACCATAAACATATGTTCTCATTTGCAAACATTATACGCACAAGAAAATTTTACAAATTATGAATAACCCATCATCAAACGCCTCGAAATCAATGCACCGATCAAGTAGAGAGCGCAAGAACTCGCGGACCACCGAGCTCCCGCAAGCAAGAAAGATCATTTCAGAACCACTGATCGATACAGAGTTTCTCGTAAATCTATTTTTAATATTGTAAAGGGTTCTTATACGTGTCAGTATAGCTCAAATTATGGATCTCATCTCTATTGTACCTCACTAGTTTGTTATGATTGATGACATGATAAAAATAATTTTGTAATTACAAAATGTCAAAATAAGGAAGATCAGTAAATAATGTTTTAGAAATAGTAAATTTAACTCTTATTATTGATTAAACGCTTAACTTCAATTTATCATCATTAACACTCACGCAAAAACACACACACACAGAGAGAGAGAGAGAGAGAGAGAGAGAGAGAGAGAGAGAGAGAGAAAGAGAGAGAGAGAGAGAGAGAGAATGCGATTGTACAGTGTACAGATGAAAATAAAAATTGAAATCCATCATCATCGAATCTATAGTAAAATAATTAAAGCACGTTGGTTGGCTCTGTCTGTCCGTATGGTAAAGTAGGAATCAAAAGGATTACCTGCGTGAACTTCTGCGTGAACTGCGTCTGCGTGAACATACTTCTGTTAACTCTTGTTACGCGTGGAAAACTGTTGGCGTTTTTTTCGTTATACACTAACAATTGCCACCTCCAGCCTTTCATTCTCGCTTCTGGCCGGGACTCACCTCTTCACAATGGTTGTCTCTTGTCTCTTGATCTGAAAATACAGGCCAGGCGGAAGAACTATCGCGCCTTGCAAGTCGCACATTTTTTCCATGCAACCCATTTAATTTCAACGTTCACTATTTAGCAATGTCAGAAAGATAAAGAAAATTGAATGAAACCTACCTATGTGAATGAAACCGACTTAATTTTAGATAAACTCACAATTTGACTGGATCACGAGTGCACGAGCCAAAAATAGCAAAACAATTGTAAACAAAACCTGAACAATGCAACTCTGTTAACGGGAGCGTACAACTCAAACAACTTCGCATTGTAATTTTATGTTAAATATCTGTGTGTGTTGTATTTGTTGGCATTCTGTACTAAAACTAAACTAAGAATATTGGGGCTTTATATGATGTTAATTTTTAATATTACAAAATATAATTTATTATTTTATTATGTAATTTATGTATTTTTGGAATAAATTTTTAAGTTGAGTTTCAAATTATATTCAAGAAGTTTCTTACTGAAAGGCGTAGACACAGTATAGCAACAAGAATGAAAGTTTGAAAATATCCATGGTGAAAATTGCAGTATTTTAGACGTAATATCGATTAAATGCCAAGCATTAGCATTTCAAAGAAACAAGTGTGTTAAATACTTTTTTTATTCTCTTAATTTTTTCTATATTTATATATATATTTTTCAATTAATCGTTCATTAAAATTCACTCTTTTTGTGCTAATGTCATGTGTTCCTGTGTTAGTGTTAAAAGTTAAATATTACGGCACCGAAAACCATAATGAGAAATTTCTCGTCATCTCGTAAAAGCTGTTTAGTCGAAAAGATGATGATTATCATACAAAAAATTCAATCAGTCAGTAGCGCTCAATGGAGGCTGAAAAAAGATGGATCTTTAGATCCGATCTTATCTTGATAAGTGCTGGGGAAGAAGTAAGAGAAGGAGATAGTGAGTTCCCTAGAAAAGGACCAGAAAAAGAAAATGCAGATTTAGTGTAAGAGTGTTTAACAGGAATTAAAAAAAAGCGAGAACGAATATATTATCATAGATCGGGGCCTTTAGGTTTATTGTAATGTCTAATAAATATTTGCAAAATATATTAGGTTGAGATTCGTACATTATTGGGCAAATTTTAAAAACTAGTCTATATTTTATTGGAAGAAGAAATCAAAATATATAGAGAGAGATATGAGGAAGGATAGTTAGGAGCGCGAGCAACTAAACGAATTAAAACTTTAGTTAGAGAATCAAGAAAACCATTGTTGAGTGAATTATTAAAATTCAACAAATGGTTTTTAAATTTATTGTGATATAGAATTTTTTTCTCATCAAGCGTCAATTCATTTTTGCATTTATAATAATTCTGATTGAATTAGAAATTATCGGATAAACTTAAGACTTTTTTAAGAGATTGTTCTTGAAAATTTAAGTTAATTATATTATTTATTACCAAAATTTATTTTTATAAGCTTTTCTAACCAAAATCGACAGAAAACGTGGTGCCTTCAAGTTCTTGCGGCATTCAACATTGTATTCTGCTTGTACAACGTCCTAACACACGACCATGCCAACAGCAGTCTATCTGTCAACTCAAGCTATAGGTAGATTCTTAAAGAATTTTTTTAAAAACATTAATAAATATTGTTTTCATCAAAAAACATCATCTCCTAAGTTGAAAAATAAGTTTATGAATATGTCAACTGGAAGTTTTCTAAAATTAATTTTTTGTGTTCAATTTGAATTAAAAATATTTTTAAATGTGAGAATATAACGAAAAATAAAAACGGCTATAAACAAAAATCGTTTCAACAAATTCATTAACAATGATTTTTGAAATGTACCATAAAAGAGATTTAGAGCCGGCCTCTGACGATAAGTACGAGGTTCCGAACATTGTGCACTTCATCTGGTATGCCACGGAGTCACTGCCTCTTAACTTCAACCACATGCTTTCCATCCTCAGTGCTCACAAAATCTTGCAACCTAGTCACATATTCTTCCACACCAACAATCCCCCAGTTGGCAAATATTGGGAGGCCGTCTTGAAATTGGACAACTTTGTGGTGAGTGGACGGATGCAATTTTGTTTGATAACTTTCAAAGTTTAGTTTGAAAACTGTGAGTAAAACTCAAAATGCAAGCACGCATGGTTGTTGGTAACACCAGGTGAACATGCGGCAGCCACCGACGACGTTGTTCAACGAAACTGTGAAGCCCCCTCAGTTCTACACGTCGCATTCCAACGTGGATCGAGTGAAGGTGCTGATGGAGGTCGGAGGAATTTATTTGGATCTTGATGTCATCGTCACCAGGCCTTTTGATGACCTGAGGAAATATCCTTGCACCATTGGTGAGTATATAAAGTTGTTCATTAGCTACAAAGTTTTAAATTTAGTTGCTGGTAGATTTCTAGAACATAAAAATTTAATTATTTGGGTTGTTGTTTTATGTAAATTAGGTTTTCATTTAATAAAGTATTTTTTATGATTGATTATTGAGGTTTTCACCTCAACTGATGGTATTGAATTTGTAGGGAAGGAGCAAGATGACCAGGCCTGTGGAAGTGTCATCGTGTGTTCCAAACATTCGACATTCCTCCTCCTCTGGATCAACTCCTTCCTCGACGATTACAGAATTGATGTCTGGGCCTACAACAGCGGGAAGGTATTTGGGAAGATGAATTCAATCCCACAACATGATGCAATTTGTTTAAATCAGTTTAATAACCTCAGATAGCACAACATTTCAATTTTTTCTCTTTCACTATTGATCACCAAAAAAAATTGTATTTGAATATCGGCTTTCAAAATTGATGAAGAATAGCGCATTTAATTACAAAACGTAGATAAAACTCTTTAGACAAAATTTGCAGAAAAATTCTCTGACGATCGGCAGGTGGCACGCTCCGTTAATATTCACCACGTGTACATTCGTGTAGGGTTTTAAGCAAAGTTGAAATAAGTTAAAATAAGTTTATGATCAGTGTAGAAAAAATATTCAATCTTAAATATCTTAAAATTTAATTTTAATAATTTCTTTCATTCGATTTATTTCGATTTTCGAAAAAAGCAACAAACAGAAAGTTATTCATTACTTGTTACTTCATCAAGTTGCCTTAGTTTATTAAGCAAATAAAAAATTTTAAATATTTTTTATAAGTTAAAAAATATTTCAGTAGAATCATGTGATGTGCATATACACAAGTTGTATATTGTCCGTTTTAAGCTTGTTGTTACATATGTGTAGCCATTTTATTTTTCATTGAACCACAACATCAACAACAGTTTTGTAACTCACGTGTCTTTTATGTTTCAATTTTTTAGAGATTGTCTTAAACAAGAAATAGATTAGAGTACACTAAAATGTTACAAATTATTCCAGGTTCCTTATAATTTAGCCAGACGTTTTCCTCATTTAGTTCATTTGGACGAAAATAAACTAAATCGACCAAATTTTGATGAACTTGATGTCATCTGGGGTGAAGGTCGTTTTGATTGGAGGTCAAATTACGCCGTACACACGTGGTACAGGTTAGTTAGTACACTCTTGCTAGGTTGTGCGTGTGTGATAGCGACAAATGATATTTATTTGCTTTTACAGTTTTTTTTTAAACTACCAGTTAACAATTTCTAATTCCACTCATCGGTTTCCCATAAATGGCAGATTGTGGAAAAGTCAAAGTCCTTTCTATCACGGCGTGGAACCAAACGAAGTGAACATCAAAACGTGGAACTCCAGCTTCGGAGAGATGGCGAGGAGTGTTTTGTACGGTGGCAGCAAGATGATGGATTCGGATCTTGTCGTTCTATGAAATGCTTTGCTGATAAAGAATGCACACTTTGTGCAGAAGTGGTTTTGAAAGGTAACATGTATCTTCAGCTACGTTGGTCACATGGTTCGTTTGAAACGAAATAGCAGTACAAATTTTTACAAATTAAAATATTTGTTATTTTGATCGTTTATAAGATACAAAAGTTTACGTTTATTTAATTTATGTAAATAAATTTATGGAATGAATTTTTGAATGTTAAATTAAATCCTACAAACAAACCAGCCACAGACTTTTAGATATAATTAAGAATTTGAAAAAAAACTTTCAAACGTGAAATTCAAAGTACAAATTGAAACCAAGTTAAATCCTGAACGTCATACAAGCACCAGTTGTGGTGTGTGGTGTCAGACATTAAACAGTTTCTTATGGCTGCCTGTTATAATCTGAACACATCCTTGGGACCTCACCTCACCCAACTCTGCAAACTTATCTATTTACATTGATTTTTTATCGAAGCATCAAAAATTGATCGGGTGGGCTTCTTTCTATGCAGTAGAACCCAAATATACAGAACACTTTTCACTTGCACCAACCACACCTGACCTTATAACTTTATTGAAACTGTTTTATTCGCACGACAGAGATGCAGTCAAAATGAGTTCAAGACATTAAATATTTCGCTAATAATAACTTTTAAAATATTTAAGTAGCTTTAACCTCCCAAATAATGATTTTGAAATTTTTGTATATTTCAAAATGGTCTAAAGTATAATAATATAATATATATATCTAAATATATAATATATATATATATCTATATATCTATATATATCTATATAATATATATATATATATATCTATAATATGTTAAAACCTTGAAACTTTCGATAAACTGAAATAGTTACCCGCTTTTCGAAACCTTCAAAATTTTCGAAGCCAATTTTCTGTTACACCGCTGTGTATCTGTGCATGTCTGTCTGTTTTTATGTATGCCAACCTATGTATGCATGCGTTTGTCTGTCCGCTAACGCTTAAGTATGCTTCTGTAAGTTTTTGTGCATCTGTTTATGCTATCCTTTGTGTGTGAGTGTGTGTGTGGAAAGACAGGAACTGTGTTTGCATACTTTTGATATTTCAATTTGGTACAGGTTTCCAGCAATTCAAACTAAAAAATTTCATATAAAGAATCAAAAAAAAAAAATGTGGAATTTAATGAAAAGTAACAAGGAAAAGTAACAAATCTACGTAACTTGGTTGCAGCGGCATAGACTGCGAATAAAACAGACGGTTGAACGCAAAGTATGCAACCTAAAGCCTTGAATAACGAAGCGTGAGTGGTTTTTTAATGGCGGTCGACTAATTCTCTAACATAGGCAAAAGTTTGAAACGTTGAGAACATTACCTGACACCACAGAAGGTGCACTACCTCATTGTGTTGTGTCGGCAATTATCATTGCAAATGCACGCACTGACCTCCAGCCTAATGTAATTTTTAAGTCGTCTCACAACGCTTTCAATGTCGCCGTAATAAAAACATTTTTAACTGAAACAAAATTAATTAAATCTAATTGAAATTAATTCTTGCAAATATCTGTATAATATTTATATCACGCTTTATCGTATGAAACGCCGATCGTATATAGGGAATGTAAGTTCTTTTTATGGATACATCGGCACATCATCACGTCGTCACCACAATCAGCTCCAGGTTAAAAACACCACCCATCTCTCTGACGTCATAAAATGTGTCCTGGAAAAGAGCGTTTCGTCATAAAAACTTATTGCTTTTCAGTGCACGTGATACGATTCTACTGCTGCTTCTGTTGTTTGTTGTTGCCGATGTTGTAGTTGATGTTGTTGACGTTATTTATTGTTGTTAATGGTGTTGATGTTGTTGACGATAATGGCTGTTGTTGATGTTGTTGAAGTTGTATATGTTGTTAATGTTGTTGATGTTTTTTGCTGTCGATGTTGTTGTTGTTGTTGAAGTTGCTGGTGTTGTGACGTTGTTTTTTGTTGACGGTGTTTATTCTTGTTGTTGATAATGTTGTTGTTTATAGTTAAATTGAACTTCGGCGTTGATGTTCTTGTCGCCATCGCTATCACATTTTGTTGTTGTTATTAATGTCGTTATTAATGTTATAATCAATGTTTATTGATTGTAGATGACATTGTCTTTAAACCTTACTGTATGATTATGTTTATTTACTACACGCTAATATGTTGTTTTAGTTGTTTGATCTTTGTTTATAATTAGTTGTCATTCCATTCCATCAATATTTTATATTTTATTAGTGTGAGGTACAGTTTGAATTTGGCTCATGTATTCGGAATTATTTTGTTTCAAAGCGAATAATTCTAACGAACCTATTACAAACTGTTACAAACCTGTTACGAAACTGTTATGAACCTGTTAAGAAACTGTTACGAACCTATTACAAAACTGTTACAAACATATTGCGAAACTATTACGGACCTAAAACGAAACTGTTAGAACCTAAAACGAAACTCTGTTACGAACCTATTACGGAACTGTTACAAACCTATTGCGAAACTGTTACGAACCTCTTCCGAAACTCTGTCACGAACCTATTACGAAACTGTTACAAACCTGTAACGAAACTGTTACAAACCTATTATGAAACTGTTACAAACCTGTAACGAAACTGTTACGAACTTATAACGAAACTGTTACGAACCTGTTACAAACCTGTTAGGAACTCTGTCGCATCATCCCCGTTTGTCATTTTGCATTTTATTTTGCTACCCAACTCTTATTAACTCGTTTGTATTTTATCACTCAATTTCTATTTTAATGTTTCTTTTTACGAGCGTTTTGTTTCAAAACCAAATAATATCCAGCCACAGTTTGTTTGCATGTATTTGTTTGTTTTTTATTGGTTTGTTTATTTGTTTGTTTATTTTTTATTTGTATGTTTGTTTTTAATTTGTTTATTTATTTTTTATTCGTATGTTTGTTTTTAATTTGTTTGTTTGTTTGTTTGTTTGCAAGCATGTTTCTCTTGCGGTATTGAAACTTTTACAACTTACTCAAATAGTTAATTTTTCCCTGACATAGTGACAGTTGAGCAACCGATTGTATTTCTCATCTAGTAAATGAGTGACAAGGGGCCATGCTTACATTGTATGCGCGAGAAGGCACACCATAAAAACGTTCATTCAAATATTTTCATGCACACCGAGTGAACTTTCGTAAGAGCACCTTCAATGTAGCCAAGTTGTCTTTCATTCATTCATTCATCCATTCGTTCGTTCATTCGTTCGTTCGTTTGTTCGCTCGTTTGCTCGTTCGTTCATTCGTTCATTCGTTCATTCGTTCATTCATTCATTCATTCATTCATTCATTCATTCATTCATTCATTCATTCATTCATTCACTCATTCATTCATTTATTCATTCAGTCACTCACCCACTCACTCACTCAAATTTAATTAATTGATCGAATTAATCAATTAAATTTAATTAATTAATGGAATTAATTAATTAAATTGATTGTATTGACTGACGGAACACACCACCAAAAAACAATTTGATGAGGTGAATTAATTTTAAATGATGCAACCAGCAAACAGTTTTTAAAATTTTTTTTGTTTCAATTTCAATTAATTTGAACATTTTTATCAAAAATAATTTATATGTAAGATATTATAAATATAGTTTTTGAAAAATGATAGTCAATTTAATTATTTTTAATAAAGAAGATTTTTCTAAAAAAAACTATGATGAGTGGTTCAGAATTTAGAAAATAACAAACTCAAACCTGAAAAATATCAAAAATTTCAAAAAAAAAATTTCATATAATTAATAACAAAAAAACAATCGTATAAAAAAAAGTTTCGACACTCATTAGATGAAGCAACAAAAACTTAAAAAAAAAATCCTACTCTACTGGAGTGGTAGTCATCAAATTGGGACAGTCTCATTAATTATGGGCAAGTAAAAAACTTGAATTACGCTATTTATGAATCCTGTTTGAATTGTCTCTCTCTTTCTCTCTCTCTCTCTCGCACATACACCACCAGTGTTGTGCAGTATTTAAATACCCAAAGTATTTAAATAGTATTTAAATACCGACTTCGGTATTTAAGAAAGTATTTAAATACCAATTCAATCGAGTATTTAGTATTTAAATTTTTTAAAATACTAAATACTAAATACCAATTCAATCGAGTATTTAGTATTTAAATTTTTTTAAATACTAAATACTAAATACTAAATACCAATTCAATCGAGTATTTAGTATTTAAATTTTTTTAAATACTAAATACCAATTCAATCGAGTATTTAGTATTTAAATTTTTTTAAATACTAAATACTAAATACCAATTCAATCGAGTATTTAGTATTTAAATTTTTTTAAATACTAAATACTAAATACCAATTCAATCGAGTATTTAGTATTTAAATTTTTTTAAATACTAAATACTAAATACCAATTCAATCGAGTATTTAGTATTTAAATTTTTTTAAATACTAAATACTAAATACTAAATACCAATTCAATCGAGTATTTAGTATTTAAATTTTTTTAAATACTAAATACTAAATACCAATTCAATCGAGTATTTAGTATTTAAATTTTTTTAAATACTAAATACTAAATACTAAATACCAATTCAATCGAGTATTTAGAATTAAAATTTTTTTAAATACTAAATACTTGTCACTTAATATTTTTTATCTGCGTATGAAAATCTGAAAAAAATTTTTAATCGAGTTGTGTTATAAGTTACAGCTAGTTCCGATCGCTAGTTTTTTTTATATAATTTTTTTCTGTTTGTCGTGTATAAGCGTAAGTGTATAGTATTAGTATAGTAATCAACGTATGACTTAAATATTTATATTATTTTTATGCATTATAGTATATTATATTAATACATTTTCTAAATAATGTTTGCAATTATATTGAATTTTGGAATGATTATATTTTACGATTTTTGTGGCAAATTATTTTCGTGGCTATCTTCACGCACCTTCCTAATTTCTAAAAAATTTGTTTCCTGTCTTGCGTTTTTTTTTATTTAAAAATTCGTAATTATGGCAGCAAGAAGCGAGGCAAATGATAATGAGACTGAAAATAATTGGTTTACCAAAGGAGTATTCAGATTATTTGAATTCGGTGAAAGAGATATTGATGTCGCAAATAGCAACAGTGATGCAAAATTAACCGGAAAGTGTAGATTATGCAAAAAGATAAATATCAGTATTAGTGGACGCAAGAATGTTTCATCAAATTTCCTAAAACATATTAAGGTAAAAGTGAACGATGTTTTATATATTCATCATAGCATTATTTAAAAGATGACAAAATAAGTACAATGTTAAAATTTAAAAATATTTCAATGTTTTGATGTTTTTACAGAATTACTTATAGTCTAATTATTTATTTCGATGCTTAAGTAATACAATGACAACAATATTAGAATTCTCAGCACTTGCAAACTTGGTAATATTATTGCTAAAAGTATACATGAATTAAAACAAAATTAAATTCAGTTTATACTGTTTAAATAAAATAATTGTGTAGATTTGATTTTATGTATTTTCTTATGTATTTTCTTTTTTGGTTCTATTTTAATTGCCCGTGCAAATTGTGTCTCAATTAAATCATCTTTTAAGAGCAGTATTTAAAAGTATTTAAATACTGATGTTCAGTATTTAGTATTTATATAGTATTTAAATACTCAAAAAATTGCAAAGTATTGGAAAGTGGAAAGTATTTAAATACCTCATGACTGAGTATTTGTCACAACACTGTACACCACACACACACACACACACACACACACCACATACACACTCAAACATTTATGCACATATATACACATACACTGATACACACACACACATTCATAACATAAATACGAGAGCAATCACATACACGCACACTACATTATTAAAAAACACGTACATATCTAAATACAGAAACATATGTCCAGGATGAGCGTGTGTGTTTGTATTTGTGTGTGTGTGTGTGTTTGTATGTGTGTGCGTGTGTGTTTGTATTTGTGTGTGTGTGTGTGTTTGTATGTGTGTGCGTGTGTGTATGTGTGTCAGTGTGTGTGTAGGCGCGCGAGTGCGTGCTTATGTAATATAAAGTCGCACAAACTGTACACACGCATTAATATGATGCTTCAAATAAATGCACTTCCATATAAGAATATGTTTAAGTATATATTTGTATATATATATATATATATATATATGCATATAAGAAATATATAAGAAAAATAGTTTATACAATGATATAGCAGCATAATATGAGGCTAGCGAGATGAGTGCAGATTTTAGAGCCAGCATCCATTTAAAGGGAGGCATGCATGAAAAAACATAAAATGCGCATACAACGCCATAAAAAATAAACTCTATTACAGAGATGCGTTGACGTGTGCCTATCTGTCTGTCAGTCTGTCTGTCTGCCTGTCTGTCTGTCTGCCTCTCTGTCTGTCTGCCTGTCTGTCTGTCTGTCTGTCTCTCTGCCTATGTTCAAGTTTTTGTACATGTGTGTTTATGTGGGCGTATGTTCATATTTTTGCACGTGTGTGTTTGATTGAACGTTTGCTTGTGAACCTATTCAAACACGTTCAAGCTGGCATACATCACTTATTGGAATGAAAGAAAGGAAAAGGAGGAAAGTAAAGAAAAAGAAAAAACGAAGCAGAGAGGGGAAGAATGAGAGAGAGAGAATAATGCATATATATATATATATATATATATATATATATATATATATATATATATATATATATATACATATAATATATATATATATATACATGAATCTTTTGTATACAAAACATAGTTTATGCTGTCACATTAAATAAAATAATAAGCATTTTATCTCGGACCGCTCAATGTTGCGCACATATATTTATGTTGTTGTACTTAAACTTCAATGTACTTTTAATGCCCTCGTTGTACTAACTGACCGATGAATTATTTCGAGTACAATTTAGTTCATCGCTGATACTTAATGATGATGTGTTAGGTGATTTGTACTTGCGCGTGATGTTTGTGTGTTTGTTTGTTTGTTTGTTTGTTTCTTTGTTTGTTGGACGTTGAAGGAGTTTAATGTTGGCGTCGTGTCAGTTTTAATTGTTCATTTCGTGGATCACTAGTTAATTTGTTGTTCACATTTCCACATATTTGTTTCCAGTTTTTTACAGCTAGTTCTCTAAATTTCTGTTCGGACGGTTGCTTTCGGTTTCGAGAATCAAGGCTTCTATTGATAATAATTGCTTTGAAGTTTCTGCATGTTTTGATTTTTCTCATTTAATAAGGAATAAAATGAAATTCTGTAATTTTAATATATCAATTAAAACGTAATTTAAAATTCTTTCCATCATTTAAACATCCGAAGAGGAAACTATTAACAAATTTTAACTCAGCCACAAAAAGCATTAAATGGAAACTCCGAGTGACAAATGTTGGAATGGAATGTGATGATGGTCTGTGGAATGACTGATGGTGGTAGTTACGGATGAATAATGGGAGATTTAATGATGGTGACGGTTCAATCAATTTGATCTTGGGGTAGATGAATAAATCGATCCTCTCAAATAATTACGACGTGAACCATTAGAAAGTGCATTTATATTTTCAACATTCTCTCAACCACATATTCAAAAGAATAAATTTTTAAAATAAATCTTAATAGCCCGACTACACATCATTGTTTGGTTATGTATAGTAGACCTCTGAAAGTTTGAGGTGTTTTTTTTTTGTTTTTTGAATCATTAGCAACTAGCGAACAAATAAAAAAACATTATTGTTGTAATTAATTTACATACGTGAAACTGCTTTTTAAAAAATCTTATTTTTAACCTAAACAGTATTTAACCGGAGTCAGCTAGCCACGAAGAAGAACTTGAACGGGGAAGTGAAAAGAATAAACGCATAATAAAACGAACCAACGAACAAAACGCGAAAATGAGTGAACAAAAACATTGAAAGTTTCATTTAGAAAAAAATGAAAATAATGAATAAACGAATGTCATAAAAATGAATGGGAAATTAATTTTTTAAGTAAATAAAAATTGCAGAATTAATTGAATTATTTTCGGCTGCTGATAAATTTTTGATCAATAGGTGGAGAATGGAACGATGCTCCATCTGCCTCGCCCAAAACAATGGAATAGTTTGAACGAGTGAAATGTTCGTTAAATTAACTGAAGAATTAATGATAAAATCATTGAATAAATAGTCAAAATGATATTAAAATTATGGACAAAACCAAAAAACTAAATAGACGAACTTACGGTGCTGTTTGATGAATTGAACGGATACGGATTGAAAACGTGATTGTCGACTGACGACTGACGAAAGTTTTTATTGCATTTTATTTGATGTTGTGCAGAAAAAATTAACATTTGTTCAACGCATCACAAAATTACACTACACACGTTTTCGTTAAGAAATACGTTTGATAAGTTGGAAATATAAACACTTGAACGAATGAGAAAAAATGGTTGAAATAAGATTGAAATGAAAAACAGCTTGATGAACGGGAGCGAAAGATGGACGGAGGAGTGAATGAATGGACGAATGGACGAATGAAAGAATGAGTGGATGAATGGAGAGTGACTTTTTAAGATCTCACTTCCGGTTTGTTATGTGATCACGTGATGTGGCTCTATATGTATGACGTTATACGGGCGATAATAAAAGAAATTAAAAAGTATACGAGCGTTTCCAAAGAATATAAATCGGTGGGTCGAGCGGTGCAAAGAATAAAAAGCCGATGCATAGAATAAAAAATTAATGCATAGAATAAAAAATTAATGGGCGCGTTAAAATTGAACGCGTAACCAAAAGAGCTCCTCAATACGAGGGCTTGTATTTATGGCTCAGTTTGTTCTCGCGTGCGTGTTCACTTGCTTGCGCGTACGTGTGAATTTGCATCGGTGTGTACGTGCGTGTGTGTGTTTGTGTTTATGTGCGTGTTCGCGTGTTTACTTTCCATTGTATTGCAAGTTGTTTAGTATTTCTTAGCTCTGATTTATAAATATATATAACTACAGGTTTGCGTATATTATAACTTGTTTAATTTGTGTTGCATGTATGTGAGTTTCGCATTTTATTCTGCAGTCTCTGTAAGACTTCATATGCATGAACGTACGTGTCTGCTTGAGCATCTGTGCATGGACATTAATATGGTGCAGGTTGCTGTCTTTGTGTTCTAGTGAGTCTGTGCGTACGTGAACGCATTTGTACGTGTGCGTGTGAGTCTGTGTGCATGTGAACGCTTTTGTACGTGAAGTTCTGTGTGCACTTGAATGCATTTGTACGTGTGCGTCTAAGTGGACGAGTGATGTTTTGGTGCACAAAATATGTTCAAGATCGTTTTGTATGTTGCGAGTATTAATTCTGCGCACAAATGTTTATGCGGGATTTGATGTCTTTGTGTGTATGTTTGTGTGTTTGTTTGTGTGTTTGTCTGAATGTGAATGTGTGGTTTTAATGTGTGTGCTTTACATTGTTTGTGTTTCTTAATATAAATAAAATGTTCAGGTCTCCCAGTTTTTTAAATAGATGAATATTATTATAATAATATATATTAACATGTGTGAGTGTGTGTGTGTGTGTGTGTGTGTGTGTGTGTGTGTGTACATATTTTGCTGAAGTCGATTGAAGCCCAGGTTGTTTCTCCATTTTTTTTCCAAGTTTCTAATCTTCTAATTAGTTTCTTGTTATCGCAATCAAAATCATGGACTAGATTTCCAAGAGTCACTCTTAAAAGATTTTATCTTTCCACGTTTCGATGTCAGCGCATCATCTTCAGGGATGGATCATAGAAATTCAGCTTCCTATTTAAAGATCTAGAATAAAGTGTTACAATAAAGTTGATAGAAGTAAAGTTAGTTTAATGAAGAGTTTTAGACATAAGGAGTTTTTTTTACAATGGTTAATAATAAAACCACAGTTGAAAAAGAAAAGAAACAACTCGTTAATTCGATCTAGTTCAACAAAATATGTATTCAAGAAAATATACTGCAGAAGTGCACGGATATATGTATTTTTACAATATTCTATTAAAATTTTGAATTTTAATAAACTAAACGTTCACCAAAAAACTTTAGTGAAAAAAATCGAAAAAACGAACTACAAACATATTAACGCCAAACATTCGGTAGAATTTATAGAATATTGTAAAAATTATGGTCTATTACCAACATTTACTCGAGGATATATGTATATAAATATACTTACAGTTGTTTTATTTATATGTATTTATATGTTAAACAGGACAATTTCAAAGTAATGTTGAAAAACTTGTTGAATGTCTGATAAAAGTAGAAATGTGGGTGTCAAGCAACGACCTTAAATTAAATCAAGACAAATCGCAGTTTCTACCTATAGGTATCTGGCAACAACTGTCAACAATTAAAATTAATTCCATCGAAAGTGGAAACAGTAAAAAATAGTTTTGTCGAAAACTAGTTTGAGGTTTATTTTCGATTGTAATTTGACATTCAATAATCATATAAAATGTTGTCAAAATCATGTTCTTTTCAGCTTTGCCAGTTATATCGCATTCTAAAGTCTCTGCATCAATCTAGGACACAGACGTTAATACACGCATTCAAACATTCAAGATAAGATTACGGTAAACTATTGCCTCATGGATCGCCTGATCGGCCTATTGCTGGTCTTCAGTCGATTCAAAACAGGGCTGCAAAAATTGTTGCCGATTGTGGAAAATTCGACCAATGGATCTGCATTGGCTCACTGTAAAAAAAAATCATCTATATAATTTGTATATTAATATACAAGACTGTAAATGGGCTTTTGCTGAAATTTTTGACAAATAAAATAACAAATAAACCAGCTCTTTCAATCGAACTTAAGTTGAGATCCGATGACAGCAACTTGCTTTTGGTGCTATTTACCGATCTGCGGATTGCATCAAGAGATATTGCTTTTTCGGGACCAGTTGCTTGGAATGGTCTGCCAAATTGAAAAAAAAAATTGAAAACACATTTATTTTCTTTATAGTAATATCTGTTATTTTAAAATGATTAGAAATATCATTTATTTAATTATGGATAATTGGTTAGTGCTTATCAGAAACTTTTGTTTTCTAAGCGCTTATAAATTTTTTATAATAATGATGATGATGATAATAATAATAATAATAATAATAATAACTGTTCAGTGGCAAATTTAGACAACCTTGGTGTGAGGACCAAAATTTGTAAAATGTTCATTAATTTTGAAATTTGACGGGGGTCCCCTTACATCCGCCATGTACACATTTACTGTATAAATTTGTATACACATATACTGAAATGTTTTACGTTTGAAAAACATAATTGTAGCTCTTTAATTTCAGAGCAAATGTAAATGTACGAACTTTTATTCACTCTTTTCAAACCCATGTAGAGTACGTAAACATTTTCGCAAATATCCAACCATCAACGTGGTTTTGCGCTTCCATAATATTTGCGTAGAAACGTACAAGTTCATTTATACACGGATTATTTAAATTCGGTTTGTTTAAAGAATGCGCTGTGTGATTGCGTGTGTGTTTAGAGGATGAGGTGAGAATGTTCCTGGTCTGCCTACGCGTGTTTGTCAGCTATTTGAGTTGTTCTCTATGCAAACCTGAATCGCACTTAAGTTCCTCTAATGAAAAATCTACGTTGGTCATCGTTGAATGTCAATTTAGTAGGTTTATCAGGTATGAGCCGAAATGATACCAGTCACAGAAGAATCTTGTCCATTAAAATATATCTCCATTGTGTCTGTTTCGTACGAGTATTCAATTTTTCATACATTTTATTAACTCACGTGAAGAGGGAAGCTGTAGGGTCCGATAATATTTGGTCTCGTAAATAGTGCAAAATTAAATCATTTGGAATTATTTTCATTCGACTTTGTAAATTATTTAACTAGTTATTATTGTTGTTGTCGGCATATGTTAGATCAATTTTAATAACTCAATCCATTCATCCTTATAAGAAATTATCGAGCTTCAAAAAATAATTGAAGAAGCAAATTAAATTTAATTAAAAAAACTACGTTTTGCAAAGATGGAAGAACGCATAGCATTCACATTTGCATGAAGGCTAACAAATTTTATAATTAAATATATCATTGAAAATATCTTTGACCTGAAAATAATTTCTCTCAACCAATAGGAACAGCGCGTGCAAACAAGATGAACGAACGAAAACCTTCAGAAAGCATAAAATCATCCATCTGTTGGATGGTTTCATTGCAAATAATCATGAAACAGCTTTGACTGACGACCATCAAATACTTCGCTACATTTCATGGCAGATTTTTTCACGATTTGTCATCAAAAGTTTTAGAATTAAAATAACAACAACACCAATAACAACAACATCATCATCATTAACAACAACAACAACATCATCATTAACAACAACAACAACAACATCATCATCATCATTAACAACACCAACAACAACATCATCATCATCATTAACAACACCAACAACAACAACAACATCATTAACAACAACAACAACATCAACAACAACAACATCGTCATCATTAACAACACCACCAACAACAACAACATCATCATTAACAACAACAACAATAATAATAGTAATAATAATAAAATAATTGCACTAAAAGTAATAAATAGTAGTAATAATCTTTACAAAAATATTAAAATTATCTATCCGATATATGATTAACATTACGTTCCAACTTTCCAAAACAAAGTTTGATCAAGCGATATTTGCTGTTTGTGAACGTTACTCTAATCAGTTCTATTCATATTATTATTCATGCGTCTAACAATTTATTGCTGATAGGAACACGCAGTTTCTTTTGTGTACTCCATCATTTTCTATACTTATTTATGTGTCTGTATATTTGTGCTTCATACAAATGCGCACACACACCCATACACACACACGCACATACACAAACACGCACACACACACGCACATAAACACACACAAACACACACACACACGCATACCCAAGAATAAACATTTGGACGTAGTGTTGCAGGTTGATAGAATCTTATACACACATACAATGCGCTTGTTTATGTTTATGTCTTGTTTATTACGAACGTGATTGAATGCTCAAGTTGAAAGTGTTATAAAAGTAAATGTTCTCACACAATGTGTGCAATGTGCATGTGTGTGTTTGTGTGTGTGTGTCAGTGTGTGTGTGTGTGTGGGTGTGTGCAAATGTATGCTTGGATGTGTTTGCAAATAAGTGTGTGCGTACGGGTTGTGCTGTGCCTTTTGATCAGGTGGTCTTCATATCTGCCTGCATTACCTATCTGGCGTTTTCGTATGCAGGTTTATTGGTTTTGGTTCTCAAGGCTTTTAATAAAAATTTTTTTGAGAAGTTAATAAGGAAAATAATTAAAAATGCACATTGCATCCACACTCATTCAAATGTTCACACCTGCTTACATCTAGAGCCAAGGCTCTAGGTGTTTACTCAAAATTTTACAAAGTTTAAGTTTACAATTTTCTTACACGCTAAATTATTTAGCAATTTTAATAACCTGAAAAAAATCTACAAAACACATTTAAGAGAAACATCTGCCAAAATAAATTAGTGCCTAACAAATGCACAAGGAAGGAGCAGCACTGCACGACTCGCAGCCGATCGGTCGAACAGAACCGACAATTAATTAACACCTCAGTGCATCTCCTACCATGCATGCCCAACAAACGCCATTTACTAATCGTTATGATGAAATTAATAGTAATAATAATAATAGCATTATTATTAATAATATTATTGAAATTAAAAATAATATTTTTAGCAAATTATTCTACCTTATATCTAAATCTCATTTCGACATTTTTCCCCATTTTTTCCACCTGAGTTCGATACCGACATTACAAAACTCGTTCTTTCTTAACCTAACAAAACATTCCTGCTTGATTCTTTGCTGACTCCCTTATTTAAACAAGTTGCTCATATTTTCGCCGAGCTTGCTAATTCTACTTTTAGCAACAGTACATTTCACATGTGTTCCAAAATGCTTAAATCCTAATACTGGCTTATACTCTTCATTTTCGCTTTCTGATTTTAATATTGTGACTTCTATAATTAATTATAAATTATGCATAAAAAAGATCACATTGGTTATATATCTAATAAATTATCAATGAATTTGGAAAGAATTTATCGGTTAAGGTTTAAATTTCCAAACTTTATTTTACTAACTTTATGCAATTCTCATGTCTCGCCTTATTTATCCTATTGTTAACTGTTTATCCATCTGTTACCATAATCTCATTTCATCTCAAGTCTCATTTAAATATTTTAATTTTAAACCAGAATTTTTTTTGCGTATTCTATTTCATCTTTTAAAATCTGATCATATAAGTAATTTCTACAATTTGGCTATCACCCTGAATATAAAGCAATTACATATTTTATCTTCATTGGTTTTTTAATTTTAAGTCATTTAAATTAAACTACTGTTATTCACTATATATTCAGCTATCAGCTTACCATGATCCTCGTTTTAAAATTTTACGCAATAACTAGGATTTTTCTTTGATTAAACCAAGAACTAATTTCCTAATAAATTCAACTTTATCGGTTTCCATTCTTTTTTGGATAGTTTACCAACCACTTAAAAATTCATCTTCACTGGGTATTTTTAAAAACCCTATATTTAAACTTATCTTTGATCGACATTTACCTTAGTATCTTTAGTTTATGTACGTCAAAACTTTCACTTCATATTTCGTTGCATTTATGTATGTATATGTATGTGCGTGCATATATGAATGTAGGTATATATATATATATATATGCATGTACAGGCGGGCGTTGTTTATTTTAGTATCTAAATTTCATTGCAGTTGTTTCAATTTCTGTTTTTCCCTCTTTTTTGTATATTAATACCGTAATTAATTTTGTTTTAGGTGGCCCAACAAGCTGAGCTTTGGTTCTCCTGCTTCTGTTTCCCGAAAATAAAAACCTTTTTGAATTGAATTTGAATTGAAAATGTAGAAAATTTGATTTTATTATATTTTCAAAATGTCGTCCAAACATTTCGAACGAGTGGCAATGAACCAATGCTTTCGACGTTCTAATTTCTGCGTGGTCTAACCTAGTATGGGTAGTTTGAAATGTTCAACCTCTGCATGGCTTTAACAGGTCTGGATTTATTTAGCAGATCCTTATGCAACTTGGTTTGCACTTTGTAAGAACCCTCGCAGGCTAACATGTACTGAGAACTGAATGAGCTTGAAACTGCATGATCTGGTTTTTTATATTGGGTTTTATATATTGAGTTAACCCAAATTGACAAATGGTTTGATATGGTCTAAACTCTAAATTAACTTTGCTAGAAATAATCAAATTAAAAAAAGAGTTATTAAATAAAATTTTAGTGACTCTGAAAAAGATTTTTTTATTATATTGTTTATACCGAAAAGTGAATAGGGAATAAAGCCAAAACAGTGAATGCATGAATCAAATTAATTTGTTTTATCAAACAAACATTTAATATATATATATATATATATATATAATATATATATATATATTTATATATATATATATATATATATATACAATACATTCAATTAAAAATGTTTAACAAATATTTTATTGATCTGCCAAATTTCAGAGTTAAAAGTTAATTTTAAAGTTAAACCTTGAAAATAAATCGTAAATTTTAATAAAGTTTAAAAAATTTTTCTGCAAGGAATTTGAGTTATTTTTATATTTCCAGCAAAAAATTAGACCGACTCAATTAACTGCATAATTTTTAATTAGTTTGTGAATTATGCTCATACCATAGAGCGTACGCGCCAACCAACAACTAGCCAACACCATTGAGAGTGCACTCCATCAAGCTGCAACATGTTGCCGGTCTCCAATAAATTTTTAAATTGTTCGGTGTAAATAATTAATAAAAACAAAATTTGCGCTCCACTTTATGTTTCCAATTTTAAAAGGTTCAGGTCGAGGTCGATCGTGCCCTAATGTGCTCAAAAACATTCACACATACTCACTCACAGACCTGTTCTAGAGAGTTCATAATTTCTTATATATATATCAAATCCATTCCGCTAGATGGTCAAAAAAGCAAGCATTTAGGTGCTGGCATACAAATATGAATGAACATGATGTTTCTTTTTTAAAAATTCATTAAATAATTAGATTAAACTTTATTTAAAAATTTGGCAACTTTCATTTAACCTCAAAATTTTTAAATTCCGAAAAAAGGAAAAATTTTTATGCGATGTAATAATTTCAAAAAGTTTACATATTTGATAACAAAATTTTCAAGTTTTTCCATTAGTACGAAACAACATATATACAACAACATACAAGGCATACACACACATAGTAAAAAAGCACACACACACAGACCGTAGTAGCGACTGGCATTATTGTTACATTAAATAAAATAAATGGAAACATCGAACTTGATTCTAATGTGCGTGTTGTCGATTGTGCATGAATGTGTTTTATATTGCCCATATCAAACTAAATTAGATTTTGAGATTTTATACAGGTTTGCCTGTTAGAGTTTGTGCGTGGGGGAAATATATGTGCTTATGTCTATGAACATATGTGTCTGTATGTGTATGTATCTGCTTTTAAAGTTCAACAAAAGATAGAAAGAAGGAAAGGAAAGAAAAAAGAGAGGCAAAGAGAGAAAGAGAGAGAGGGGGGGATAAAAAAAGAGATTCCGTGTGTTTAACTCTCCATGTGCGTGCATGTTTAACGTGATTGAGAGAAAAACATGTCTGAATTGCAATACACGTGACTATGATTGATGGCAGTTTTATACGTACATAAATTTACTAATATTTGCATGTAAATAAACTTACCGTTATACCATTATATATATATATATGTATATATATATATATATATATATATATATATATATATATGTATATATATATATAATGGTATATAATGGCATATAATGATATATATATATATATATATATATATATATATATATAATGGTATATAATGGTATATTATGATATATAATGATATATATATATATATATATATATATATATCATTATATATATATATATATATATATATAAGATATCCAATAGAAAGTAGGATTTAGGAGTAATTGTGACTGAAAAAAGCGTTTCAATAAAGTTTTAGGATTGAAAGTTTCAAATTGAATCTTCTCTTGCGATTTAGTTAAACACGCGCCCACGACAAAATTTTAAAATTAATATGTTTTACATGAGAATTTTATATTTGAATTAAGGTCTCAGCACAGTTAAACTTCATACGAATTCAAAATTTTCAATATCCTTATATTATAATCAATTAAAGTTTTTATATGGTGACGTCAAATAGTACAATCTGTACGCGAAAATGATTTAAAAAAATTTATCTAACAACTTGATGCAAATTTGACATAATGGTTCATTCATTCATATCTCGATATACATACATAGATAAAGATTTAGCAAGAATACTTCGTCAATCACATAATTACTCTTACATTGCTAAATCGAATAGTTACAAATAAGGCGTCGCGATTGATTAATAATAAAAAAAACATTATTATTAATACAATGATGGTTCAAAATGGTATATGATAAATTAAAACTTGAAAATTGGAAAGTATTAAGAAAACCGAATGCAACGAAAGCTGTAGAACGATTGGGATAATCCGTGAAATGTAAACAACAAAAATAATTTAGACTCCGAAGAACAAACAGTAATAACAACCACGATGTTAAAATGGCGATTTATATAGTTGGTTTGTATATTTATGGCCAGAATTTCAAAAAATTAAGTTTCATATTATAGATGAGATTTGTATTGCAAAAGAATTTGGATTTTCCAATGATAATGTTTTATTACCAAAACTTTTTTACTTTGTTTAAATATTCATATTTATTAGCAACTAATTGTTGAAAGAGGTGAGAATTTATTATTTTATTTCTGGAAATAATTATTTTTGACACTTTTTTTGTTGGCTCAGGGTCTTCATATTTACAAATTTGGGAGCAAACAAATACGTACATCTATCTAATCAATTACAAATTCAGTTACCATTCGAAACCAAATTCATTTATGCTACGCTATTAATTAATTAACTTACTAATTAATTGATTAATTAATTCAACAAAACACAAATTTATGGAATCGGGAGAGATAATTTCAAATCTACAAACATACAAAAAAGGATTGATTGATTCCGGCTGGTTTCTGTTTGTATGTATGAGTCAAACGTATGAAATGATTGCATCAAAATGTTTGAAAGCTGATTCAATTGGATATTAAGCTCTTAGAGCAAAAATAGCACAAAAACTAAAATCAAACTAAAATATTTTATCCGATAGATTTGAAATATTTTTTGTTTTTTCAACATTTTTAACATTTT